CCATCGGAAAATGCTACAGTGGATGACGGCTAGAGGCTTTGGAGCCATGGGAGCTCCGGCAGCGGAGAGTCCCAAAGGGGGCACAAATGGGGGCATGATGATGCTTTTTCCGCAGCATTTGCATTTCCACTATGTCCAAGAGCAACTTGTGGACGGTTGCGGCTGGTTTGCAGTCAGCTGGAACTTTGACGGTTGTGAACTAGTGTTGATCATGGCGTATTTCAAGTGTGGAGAGGGCATCCAAGGCCCCACCAATGCAACATTGTGGGCAGGTTTGCTAGCTTTTGTCACCAGCCTCCAGAAGCAGGTGATCATCATGGGTGATTTCAATGTGGCTCCGGAGGTTTTCATGACGACCACCATGGCCCAGCACATGCAAGTGCAAATTCTTGCCACACATGAGGAAACGTGCAACACGGGAAATGAGCTGGACTGGGCGTTAGTTTCGACGCCGCTTGTTGCAGATTTGAAAGTTGAGGCAAAATGGATGGTCCCTTTCAAGCCCCACGCCATGCTACAGTTTCGGCTAGCTGGACATTTTGATGAGATTGCAGTTCAACAGTTGACCAAGTTTGGACCGGCTCCCAAACTGCAGAGCCCGGTTGTCACGTGGCACCAAGTCGACCCACAGGACACCACTGTCAAGTGGTTGGATCATGTCACTGACCCTCTGACGACACAAGCTGGCACCATTTACAATCGCATTGAACGGTATGTTTTGCAGCAACTTGAAGAACCTCATGGAGGTAGAGGGCTCACGTTGCAGTTTGTGCAAAGACCGCTCCACGATGTCAGCAAACCATGGCTGTGGAAGAGAGGTAGCATGGCTTTCTGGAATCAGCTTGAACTTCGCCTTCAGCAGTTGCTTCACCATGTGGGGAGAGAACCACACCATCAAGCGCAGCTGCAAAAATTAGGCTGGAAGATTCAAGAACATTGGCATGCGGAGGCAACTGTGTCCTTGCAAGGTTTTCAGAGTTTATTTGAAATGTTGTGGTACCAGCATGGGGATGAGCATATCCATGTCCTCCTCAACTATGCACAACAACAAAGAGAATTGCACCAAGCTGAAACCTTCCAAAGAGAGACTGAAGAGTACAGGCAATGGCTTACCACTGCATCCCAGTCAGGGTGTAGGGGCCTGTACCGCACGTTGAAGAGAGATGAGATGCCATACCTCCGGCCTTTCCAAGATCAACCTAGAGCTTTGCGGATGCCCATGCGAGTTAAGCAGTGGGGTGAAATCTGGAAGGTCCAAACACGGCAGATCCTCATTCCGTGCATGGAGCAGCTCATTAGCAAGGGCCAGGAAGAGGCAAAAACCCTGCCTTTTCTTTCTGATGGGCACATTTGGAAAACCATCAAGACGCTAGCAATCAAGGCACCTGGACTGGACGGGCTGGGTTTTGACTTTCTGCGCTCTCTTCCCAGAGAGGCAATGAAGGACCTGAGAGCCTTTTTCCAGACGGTAGAAGAGCAGTCCATGATCCCAAATCAATGGAAGGCTTCGCTGATTGCTTTGATCCCAAAGAGCACCGCCATTGAAAGACCAATTGCATTGGTAGCAACCATGTACAGGCTTTGGTGTAAACTACGAAGTGATCTCACCAAACGCTGGTCCAGCAACATCCAGTCTGAGTACCCATGGGAGAGAGCGGTCCCTGGAACTGAGTGTTTGCAAGTGGCGCTCAAAAGGTCCTTTATGACCGAACACCATGCAGCGCACAAGCGCACGGTCATCTCCGCGCTCCTGGACCTCTCAAACTTCTATGATAGGATCAGCCTGGCACAACTGGCGCAAAGATGGCTAGAGTCGAGCTACCCGGCAACACATGCTGCACTCGCAATGCAGGTCTATACTGGGCAGAGAATCCTGGAGGCGGAAGGCGAAGCCTCAGCGCCTTTGTGGGCGACTCACGGAATCCTTGCAGGAGACACACAGGCTCCATTAGCTGCAAAGGTTTATTTGCAGAGAGCTCTCAAGGCTTTTCACAAACGATTTCCGCAGCTGCATTCAGACCTCTGGATTGACGACTTCAGTTTCGATGTTGTTGACAAAGACCCGCATAATGCAGCAAGGATAGCAATCAATGCCTATGCCTGTGTGAAAGCCGAACTTGAAAAGGACAACCTGAAAGTCTCAGAGCAAAAGACCGGCTTCATTGTCTCCAATGCCACGGTCAAGAAGATCTTGGCTGAGCAACTCCCAGAGGGAGGCCCAAAGGTGCACGACGTGATGAGGGACCTCGGCATCGACTGCACAGCAGGCCGTCTTCGTCGCATCCAGACGATTAAAGCAAGACGAAGAAAAGCTGGCAGAAAGAATGTCAAGTTGAATTCCCTGAAGATCCCCAACAGAGCAATACAGTTGAAGATCTATAAGGGCAGCATTGTCTCGGGAATCAGTTGGGGACACCAGGCCATGGGTCTAGCACCACCACTCAGACGAAGGCTGAGAGCCACGATGGGTCGCCAGATGGGCTTGCAGCGTACAGGCAACTTAGATATCCTTTTCGATATGTACCCACGACATCGTGACCCGGACTATGCAGCATTCGAAGACCAGGTAAAGCTCTACCGCAAATTCCATGGCAATTGGCCGGAAGCTCTGGCCAAAGACCTCGTCAAGGCTTGGAATGTTCAGAGGGACAAACTCAAGTCGGTGCCATATCCTTGGCAGCACGCCAAGGCCCAGTTGGAGCACTGCAATGTTACCTTCTGGAACACGGCTGGTCCTTCGACAAGCAAGATGAGTGGGTCAAGCCTGGACATAACGGTGAACCTGATTTCAAGCTGAACATGAATGCTGACTGGTTTTACCTACGTCAAGAATTGGAGAGGGCACACAGATGGGAAACGGTCATGAAGATCAACAAGCGCAAGTTTTTGCACGAGGTACAACAACCCCTGGATTGGTTGCCTTGGAGGAGACTTTCCCGAACCCTGTCCAAAACACAGAATGCGGCTTTACAAACCTGGCATCAAGGGGCAATCTTCACCAAATTGCAGGACGGGCAGGCAAAGTCTCAGCTCATGTGCCCGCACTGTGGCAAGGAAGCTGACACCATACATGTCCTTTGGCAATGTTCAGAGACACGGAAAGCTTTTCCGCCTTTGGACCAAGAGGATTGGCAAGAGATTGAACAAGGGATAAACCTGGAGTTCTGGTCACAGGGCCTTCTTCAACTTCCTCGCTATGAGAATCCACAGGAGGTGCAGCCGTCCAGACATGGGGATCGTGGACAGCAAATGATGAAGTCCGACTGAGTGGCATTGATGTGGTGACAGTAGGGATAGCCCCCACTAGCGCTGACCCTCGTCTCAAACACTTCGTTGTGGCCTTGGTTCACCACACTTTAGTTGATGGAGAACTCATGAGGAAAGGTGCAGTGACCACAGTGTTGCCAGGCAAGCAGTCGACAGATCGTGCCTGGTTCTACGGGCTCAGGCTCATCGCCCACTATGTCCAATTGGACATGCAAGTGCGAGTACAGGTGCTTTCAAAGAAAGCCTGGGAGGCCTGGGCGCACGGGCGCCACTCGGATGTTTTCCTGGATCTGAACCAATTGGTGACGCATGATCAAAGAAGCCGCATTAGGCCTTTGAGTTTGAGTCACAAGCAAATCAATGAGATGCCACCAGGACCGTATACTTTGAAGTCAAGGTTCAAAGACGCTTCGAAGGTTGCCAGGGAAATTGCCTTGTCACATCGTCCAGAGCAAGAGGAGGCAGATTTGCGGTTGACTGACCAGCGCTACAACAAGATTGCTCCGCTGGCAATCTCACGAATCAAGTACCTTTTGGAGACCAAGGATCATTTCCTCCATCAGGTCAGAGAAAGTGGCCGCATCAACCGACAGAAGGCAAAAGAGAAGAAAGCGCAGCTGTTCCAAGACATTGGCCAGCAAAAGGGTGAACATGATCACCAGTGGGTGGCCAAAACCAGACGCTTACAGTGCCACTGCTGCAACAAGCGCATCACGATGCATCTCACCTATGCAGCCTTGCAGAGCATCAAGGAGGAGGAATGTCCTGCCACCACACAGTTGTCCATCAAAGGAGGTCAGGCTCCTAAAGAAAGGAGCAAAGCCGAACTCCTCAAGAGCCTTCTTGATGGAACTTACCCGGAGTTGCATGGGCATAGTTTTGTGCTGCAAACCAACTACTTGGTCTGCACTGGTTGCAATGGCCGCATTTTGCGGCATGCAGCCTCAGAGAAGATTGAAGGGCTGGCGAAGTCCAAGTGCTGGAATCAAGAGTGGATCCCTGAAGGATCATGGCAGGGTCATAAGAGTCACCAGCTGTGGCGCAAGGGGGGCCGTGTCACTTGTTCGAAGTGCAAGGCACATGCTATCCAAAAGGATGGAGCTTTTGTGGCCAGCAAAACCCTTCGACAGAGTTGTGGACACACCAGCACGCAACCGACGTTGCCAACTTTGTTCACCAGCCAAAATGGCTGAAGACCATGGCAGCAGGAAAAGACACGCAGAAAAAAAGACAGGTCTTCTTCTCCTTGCTGGACGATAGTGGTGAAAGTTACACTCCGAGTGGAACCGGAGTGTTTTCATCCACCACCTGTTTGGTCTTACATCGACAATCCAAGCCATGCCAAACAACCAGTGTTCGTTTCGTGTAGCTCAAGGAGGGGCCCGAAGGCCGGAACCGGACGAGTCCGGCGGATCGAAGCGGCGAATCCTTCGAATTGGTTGGACACCTGTGGGTCTATGGTATCTGAGGGTCACCCTGCAAACCTTGATGGATCTGAGGTTTTCTATGGAACTCTTCGAACACGGCCATGCGCCATGCGGCGGCTTCCAAAGGATGCTTCCTTTCTATACTGCAACACAAACACCTCACAGGCTGCAGTGAGAAGACCAAAGTCCTCCTAACATCCCGTCCAAAGGCCAACCAAGCATGTCCAAAAATCACTAGCCATGGCAATTTCGGGCATTCTCTGATGGGGACCCTGCTTCACTGCTTCAAAGCTCACGTGGACCCGCCTTCACGAAGCCGAAGCCTTCGGAGTTCCGCCGGCCGGGCCTGGCAACAAGGGCACGGCAAGGATACGAATTGTCAATGTATGTAACATAATTGTGTTCAAGGTATATAACTGAACTCGCAAAAGCTTTGCAAGGATTCAGGAGAAGCAAACATTGCAACAAAATGCATTGAGTCCAGCCCTTGACCCCCACTCCATGCAAAATAGAAAGTGCATCATCGGCCGCTGCAATAACCTCCCCTCTTTTCGGTGGTCGAAACCCCGTGAAGCACCAAAAAATGAGAAACAAAACACGTGGCCATCTTCGCCACATGGTGAGAAGTGAGCGCTGATGTCTCCAGAAAACCGACCCGCCTGGGGAAGTTCCAATTCGAGACAGTGCCCGTCGGCATGGAACCTCAGCCACGCGAAGGTGAGGCTTTTGGGGGAACAAACACATCACCGGGTTCCTGAGGCACTTCCGCGGTAAATAGAAGGGCAACGTCTTGCCGCTTTGCCGTTTTAGCCCGGGTCCCTCAGCTATATAGATTATATAGATATTCTTTCCAAAGGCGCGGGTAAATCGATAAAATCGAAAAAGGTCTTTTCTACCTAAATCGCGGATAAGCAAGAAGTTAACATCGATGTTTTTCCAAAACAAAATCTGTGGGAAAAACGGTAAGAAGCAGCAATGTCTTTAATTGAGCATTATGCCTGGGTCCCTCAGATAGATCTTTTACCAAAGGCGCGGTAACAACAGCAAAAATCATGCGTTTTCTGACGTGTTCAATTGATTTATACCAATCTCCGCGGTAAAGCGTGAAGAATCAAAAATTCACAAAAATGTACAAATATTGTCTTCTACCGCATTGCCCAGGTTCCTCAGCTACAAGATTTACCGAAAGGGGCGGTACAACGGTCCAAATCGGAAAAAATGCCTTTCTGTACCCGTGACCGCTCTGTGGGGGTTGCGACCGTGCAGCTAGCAGCTAACGCCCAGCAACGCTCGCGAACCGGCTCGATCCCGTTCTTTCTCACCGAAACTGAGGTCCTCACTGAAACGGCGGGGAACTGCCCCGGAACGGTGACGAAACGGCGTGTCTGCCCAGCTATGCTCTGTTCGGGTCTACGTTCGGTTCCAACGTGCTCGAGTGATAGACATACGCAAGACCCGTCTTGATCCAAAGGGAGAAAGTGCTGAAGGATGCTTTTTTGGCGTGGCAAGAGCATTTTGGCGACATCCTCAGGATGTTTAGATCTGAACAGCTTCGGGTGACATCCATCCCCTTCGCTCGTTGATCGAACCCTAGAGCCAAACAGCTACTGGAGGTGTGTTTCATGATAGAGAACATGTCAGAGTTTCAAAGGGTCCATCGTTGGTTTTGTGAGGTCCATCCTGTGCAAAGTTCGAGGTCCGAGGTCCTGTGTTCAACTGAAACTCTGACCATCCTGTGCGTGGCAGAATGTCACGGAACACTGAAAGAGACAAAGTACATCTGACGAACTCAGACTGATTTGAAAGAACCTGCACTGAACCCTCTCAAAAGTGAATGAAATAAACAGCTGCCAAACAACGCCGAAACGAAAAACATATCAAAGTCAAAGACATCCTTTTAAAACTGCGAAACTATGGAAAGTTATCTTAGTCTAAACTAAACAATTCTAATCTCAAATGCTAAAACATGCTGCAAGCAGCTTGCTAAAAGTGCTACTGCTTGCAGCTTTCTGGATTGTCTCATCATTCGTCCAACTTCTCGATCTGCCTGACCAGTCTACTTGAGAACCTTCCCGACAAAGCTTGCACCAAAGCCACGGTGGTGGGAACACCTGCCAAACTTCTGAAGGTTCCTTTGTTCCCTCCGCCACATCCTGTTCACATCATGTTCAACTTTGGTTTCCTGGTCGCCAGGAGGCTTCGGGAAGGTGCCCAATTGTTTTTGAGTTTCGGACGGTCCCTAACTCTGATGGCCCATGTGGTTCAGTCCTTGGGACTTACCCAACAGTCTGCGGGATGAATACCAAAAGGACAGGGCGAACATCCCGTTTGATCGTTGGGCAAATTCAATCATCTGTCATCCAGCCATATCCAGCCTGTCAGCACCAAAGCGCTGGTCATCATTCGACCCATCTTTGTCTTGGGTGCCAAATCGCCGTAGCCCACTGTCGTGAGAGTCACAGAGGTGAAATAAAGGCCTGGCTGTCGTGAGACCTGTCTGGGTCTATTGTCTTCAACGACACAGACCACGCAGCCCACATGGGCCCCGACCCCTCAAAGGAGTCAAAGGATGAGACATGTCAAACAAAAATTTGCAAACCTCTCTTCGTCACTGGAGAACAACCTCTTACTTTGCGATTGCCAAAACTGGTTCCGTTCAATCTCTTCTCTGTTCAATCTGGTTCCCTTCCGGATCGCCCGATCGACCCGAAACGATCCCGTGCCAAGTCGCTGTCCACGAAACTCCAAGACTCGACGACTGCAAACCTCGACGGCCAAGGCGTCGAGCACGGCATCGAACGGCTTGGGGAGGGGGAGCAAAGTTTCGAACACGTTTGAAACCCGAGCCTCCAGCTTTGGAAAACGTTCAATCAATCTATTGGCACTTGGAGTCGAGTGAATTGAGAACCTGGACGTCCTAAAGTGTTCCCCAAATATCCCCAACCAGTTTTACTGCTGGGGTTCTCTCTTAGGAAGAACCAAGCTGGCCACAGTGTCTGGCCGCGCCGGTAAACGCTGCGTCCTGGCGTTGTCTTCCTGTTGTCCTATTTTTTTTACCTGTTGTCCTCTTCTTGTCCTTCTTCTGGTGCGTAGCTTGGCCACGGCCGCCAGCCAGTCTCCAGACCTTGTCCTCCTGTTGTCCTCATTTTATTCCCTTTTCCTCCTCTTGTCTTCTTCTTGTCGCCCCGTTGTCCTCCCCTTGTCCTCTTCTTGTCCTCCTGTTGTCCTCCTCTTCGCCTGTCTTCTTCTTGACGTCTTCTTCTTGTCCTCCAGAAGTCCGGCTGTTGCCCTCTTGTTGACACCAGCTTCGCCGCGGCTGCCAGCCTGTCTCCAGACCTTGTCCTTTTGTTGTCCTCTGCTTTCTCTTTGTTCATCCTCTTGTCTTCTTCTTGCTGTCCCGTTGTCCTCCTCTGCTGGTGTCCAGCTTTGGCGGCACCGGTGAGCCCTATGTCCGCCTGTTGTCTTCTTGTTGCCCTCTTCTTGTCCACCTGTTGCCCTTAGCCCGTCTCCGGCTCCTTCTTGTCCTCCTCTCGTCCTCCTTTTTCTCAGTTCTTGACTCTTGACCTGTTCTTGTCCTCCTGTTGTCTGTTTGTTGTCCTTCTGCTGGTGGCCAGATCGCAGCACGGCCGCATGTAGACATGACACCATGACAGCGTGCACGCGCGAAGGATCACCCCAAGCGCAAAGAAAAGGTTCCAGTGCGGGAAAGCAGCTGCACACGCGCAAGCCTTGTGTGGCGCCTAGTGGGAAAGCGCCAGCCGGCAAGCCCGAAGACTGCAGTACCATGTAAACAGGAAAACGTGCGAGCGTGCACTATAAAGCAGCGAGGCGCTAGCAAGACAACTCCAGAAAGCAACCCCAGAAGCCGATGTCCTCTCCCTTGTCCTCCCTCTCCTTGTCCTCTGTCCTCTTCTTAGGGCTTGCGGGGTTCTCTGGCATAGGAAAGAAGAAGCTGGCTACAGTGTCCTCCTCCACACTACAACAACAATTCTTGCAGACACTATGCTGTTTGGGGTCTATGCTGGCTTAATTAATGAGATGTCCGGCGTCGGCAGTGAAGGGAGGCACGACCCCCATGTCTTGGCACGAGGAAATCCGACTTGGTTGATGTGTGGAAAACACGAATAGAGTACATCCCAGTCAATCGCGGGGGGTCCCTTGGTGTGTTGTGGTGCTGTGGTTTAACATTTAAAAAATCACAAGCAGTCCATGGCCCATGTAAGTACTAAGTACATTGAGAGTTCTATGTGGGGAAAATTGTGCCTGGACAAACCTAGGAAACTGGTTGAACATCACACCCACTTTTGCTCCCAAATCTTGGGAGGGCCTTTCGAGTTTCTGCTATTGAATCTCCCTTGTGCAGTTCGGTAAAACCCAACGCATCCACCTTTTGACCAAAGCACGAAGCAGCGCACAGCAAGTGAAGGCCAGACAGCAAAAGGACTGCACCTCAGTTTGACGCTTCCGTTGATTGAGTTGCTAGATTGCTGCCGGCATCTGACTCACAATTGCACCAGCATACAAACAGCATCCACCACAAACTACCGCTTTGGATCAAACATACCGCCCTTACATCGCCGAAAACCTGACTCGGCTTACCACCGCACTGACGGCTGCATCACGGGATCTCGTCGCGATACATGGAAAGTCGGCCGATCGCTGGGAGGAGGGTAGCTTCGGAACCCAACAAAAACGGGGCGAGGTGGAACCCTGAAACACGCGCGTCACGCGCGGCGCGTGTTAAGGGGTCGACTTCGCAGCAGTGAAATTGAACAACACAACGTTTAGGGCCTAAGGCGGTCTCTCTTTTCGGGGTCACGGATTTGAGAGTAAGACAAGGCAACTCCTAAAAACTAAAAAAAGATCCCCCTTGGAAAAGATCTGACATCCCAGAGGTTATTGAGTTATTGTGGTCTCTCTGCAACTTACAAACTGAAAAAATAATCGAAACTCCATCGAGACTTGTTCACACATGCTGGCTGGAGAAGTGCCATGATGCGCACATTATAATCAGGCCAATGTATGAACTTTGTGCCCCTGCCAGCCCTTAAGTAGTTTCCTGGGACTCACCCCGTTGATAGCTACGTAGTATTCCGGATATGTAGATGCTAGGGAGAGACCTCATGGATATTTATCAATGTAGTACAACCGGGCATCAGACTTCCAAGCGAAGGTTGTGATTGGAGCCTGTGAGAGGGGAACTGAGAGGGTTGGAGTAGGTGATCGCTGACAAGGGTATTCCAAGCGACGTCCACCATGTCGCTTCCGCTTGGCTTGTGGGTAATCAATGAGCTGCTCCAACTGCTCCGCCTTGTGAAGCAAAGATCAAAAGAACAACATCTTAGGACATCTTCCCCCCACATGGCTGTGGGTCAAAACCGGGACACCCTGGTACCACCGAACATCAACAGAATTGACTACTTGGGAGGTCAACCTACCCCTGGTTTTTTGACCCAGCCACATAGGTCGATTCCAGTTGATCCGTTGGAGGGCAAAAAAGAAAAGAAACACTGACTCTCCGATGCTCAATTCGACGTCCACTGGGAGGCTGACTGGTCCCTAGCCTCAGCGCTGATGAAGCCGAAGAGCACCGCCAAGAGAGTGATTGAAAGCCACACGAAGAGAATGGCCAGAACCTTTTGCTCACCTCACACGAAGCGCATTGGTTTTGTTTGTTTTAATTGGGTGTGACGCCCAAGAAAAACCTTTTTTGTTGTAGGACAAAAAAATCATATATATATATATAGATGACAACCCGATTGAACCAACCCGTTGATCAAAGCCTGTTCCCAGATATATTCAGATTTGAAAAAGACTGCAGTGTCAGCAGACCAAAGACCTGTGGTGACAGGAGCTATATCGCCATAGCCCACGGTGGTCATCGTGACAGTGGCAAAGTAGATGGCCTGCACATGCAGGGGTCCTCCTGCGTTTTGGACTACATCTTGCCCCATCTGATACAGTCCAGGCCCACCCTTCCTCCAAGTACCAACAGATTCAGTCTGAGATTGAATGGACACAAGTAAGCCACAAACCCTGGAAATACCAACAGCGGGATGAAGCACGGAAGCACCTCATTGATGCTCCAGTGCTCCCCTCCCGCATCTTTGAAGATCAAACCACCTGTCAGAGCAAAAAGGAGCAGCACCAACCTGAGTGCAGAATCGCGGAGCGACCTATATAGTGCAACATCTAACAAAATGAAATATGTCCGCTGCAGCTGCCGAACCTTAAAAAACGGAGGTTGAAAGTACTGCCTGCAATTGCTACAAACAAGAATTCTATAACATCTACAACTCTATGTCAATGTCACCTAGTAAGGAAAACATGTTCATCCCTCTCAGGTCCGCTTTGCAAAAAGCACACCAACAAATACGTCCCTATATTGAGGTGACTTCAACACTGGCGACATGAGTCCATTTACACGGAAAATCACGACCCAATTTTGCCATCGCCAGGGTCACCTATATACCCGGATTCCCATGGATGATGTACGTTTCAGGGTCTGAAAATCGATTAGGCCTGCGTAACAAGTTCTTACCAAAACTTCAGGTCTCAGCAGTTTCTCCTCACAAAAAGAAAACAACTAAGTTAAACGCAGGATCCCAAACCTCAAAGACCCCGGTTTAATGAAACAGCGGCACAAAGCGGCGCTCCTGTTTTCAACAGCTTGAGCCAAAAGTCAAGGTGCAAAAGAAAAATGAACATCTCTACTTGGTAAGACAACACATGGAATGAATGAGTCATTCTGTACACACTCTTGTGGTCATATTCATTGATATATCATTTCTCCCCCTCGAGTGAGTTCCATGGTGCCCTAGATTCAAATTTCCGGCGAAAACGGAAGGCTATCTTCTCGATTTCAATTTGAACGGCACCTACGGACTTGCATGCTCTACTTGTGACACAACACACACATCTGTCTCAAGGCTTCTTGCCAATGGATTGGTGCAAGAATCTTTGTGAATGCATTAGCTAGCTGCTCTTCTGACTTGCAATAGCGAAGCTCTATCATCGATTCTTTGTCCAAAACATCACAGTTCTTGCAACGTTCACTCTGTGAACACGGTTGCAGTGTATCAAACGTGCCGAGTAGCGGTTCTGGATTATCTTTATGACCGCTTCGTTGTCCTGCTCAAGTTTGACGGCAATTTCGTGCTCAAACAAGTGTTGCAGGGTTTCTTGTATGTGGAGGGTTTCTCCATACAAAGCTGCAGAGAAGGCGATGATCTCCGCCTCAGGCGTTGATCGCGCAACGCTGCTTTGCTTGCGGCTTTGCCCGAACAGGGGAAAGAAGGATTCATTTGTCTTGATCCCGAACATAATCCCACTGGTTGATTTCGCGGACCAAGGGCAAGATGCGAAATCTGCATCACTATTTGCATGGACCGCTGGCGCATAACCGTAAGGAGATACTTCCACAACAACAAAGACTGATAGTGAACTTTAAATAGGAGATTACCCTGTGAAGTTGTCAGTCGTCCCATTTGCTCCATTTCGACACATTTGACGCCAACCTGCGTACAATGAAGGACAAATCAGGACGGCTCAGTCTGCTGAGCCACAACAGTCTCATCAGAGCTTTTGCTGCATCGTGATGCAACTCACCGCATTGTTCAGCCTCCTCATCGCGTATGTTACTCTGAGGAAGAGCTGGCAATGGCACGGATTTCAAGGAAGATTCAGAAATCCCACACAAGTCGCAGTAGAAGGAAACCACCTGCTCTGTTGTGCAAAAGACGGCATGTCAAAGCACATCTGGGCTCCATTTTCATTACCTAGCAGGCTCCACCCAACCTACACAATAACGAAACCTGCAACAGCATTGTACATGTTTCCATACAAACCGCTCTAGTATCAAGACAAACCCCAGCACGATAAACATGTCGCCCAAACCATTTGGAGAGGAAGCAAAAGGCGTGCTCCGGGCAAACGCAAACTTGAGACAAAGATGCTCTGGAACACAATGAATCCATGCGCATGGAAGAAGCCCGCGAGCGAATCACGCGAAAACACGCGCCTGCAAGCCCGCGCACGGCATCCTTACTCTTGGTAGTACGGCCAGGAGCTAGCTCCTAATCGCTGCGTGTCAATATTGTCCTGGCTGCAGTGCGATCCAACAAGTGAAAACCACCAACCCAATACGGATCGCCTCCAACCTATGAGCGATCATCACCTCACCCTGTGTTCCCGCCCTCGGCCAACGTCGATAGAGGGCCGTGCCATAGGGGAACAAGTGCCAAAAAGCGGGTGGAACCGCCGGAACGACGGTGTCGGGAAGCCAAACTTGCACGCGCAGGCAACTCGCCATCTCCGCATCCAAGGCCGGTCCGACACAGTTCATCTCCACAGGCCACTGCAAAAAGGACGCGCCAGCCGCGGCCAGAAATTCCCCGAGGTCGCCCGTGCCCAGCAGGCGCAAAGCGTAGCAGCGCTCGCACAGCGGCCGCACACCGTCGGGCGCCATGTGTAGATCGAATAGGTGAACTGGCCGCACCGGCTGCCGGCACATGGGCAGCACAAGTCCGTGTTGCTCGATGGTCGCCAGGTGGTGCTCCGCAGTGCGAGTGGGGGTGTCCAAAACCTGGCGCACAAAGCTTGCGCAGTAAGCTGTAGCTCGAACGAGTCAAAGGCAGGTATGCAAATATGAGCTACCCCATCTAACATCTGTAGGAACTAGGATGATACCCAACAGGTTGCAAATCTGTGGGCAAAGATTTGTCCGAAAGGTTTCGCAGCCTTCATGGAGTGTCCACAAACGGCGCGCACCAGCACCTGCGATCAAGCACAGATACATCATTCGTCCGCAGCCTGCGCACACACAACTTGGCCTCAGAACCCTCGGTCAGCATCTGGAAGCGCTTCTTGGGATTGCTCTCCATCACCACCACTCATAATGCGTTTCGCGCATCACGTGGCAACCCCAGCCCGTCCTGGATGTCTTCCTGCGTGCATCCAGCTGCCTTGAACTCTGCGAGCCGCAGCATGTCCTCGGACGAGAAGCTTGAACTCACGAGCCACGACGAACACCTCCTTGAATTGACTGGAAACGAACATCGGGCCATTTCAGGAGGTACATCTGCAGCACACCCCCGGTGATATGGTTCTCCCTGTATCTTTTACTTGACGTCAACCTCCCAATCGATCCAGAAAAACGACGACAAAAAAAACACACGCTGCTGCTTCAACTGAAAAACTTGCGTTGATCGGTCAGGTGGAGTGTAGTCAGCCCAAATGTCTGTAAGCTCCACCGGTTGCAAGTCTGGCTCAGATGCAGAGATGACAATTGGCTCACCCAACTCTGATTCAAGATCCTGTGCCCACCAATGATCAAGCAAGTTCTCGTTCCTCCTAGGCAAATTCCCCTGGATCACCAACCTCAAGCGCTCTTCGGCTTGCGCCTTTCGCTCGCGGTACGGCCTGGATTCACACAATGAACAAGTGTCAATGATTCACGGGCACAACTGGATCAGGAATCGCAAGAGTCCACAACAAAGGCCTTTCAGCCTGCGATGGTGATTCCTGCCACCCCTCCTCTGCACTCGGCACTTGTGATACGTACGCGTCCTTGAGCTGGTCCAATCTCACCCAGGTGATGTTGCTCTCACGCTCCACCTCCAAAGACACAGACCTTGAACGCGAACTCCGCTGCCACGGCGGTGTCGACGGACGCAATGCACTGCGCAGCTCTGCAGTGAAACGAGCTTGCAGTGAGACACAAACGCAATGAAACAGGTAGCTTGCAGTGAAACAATGCTCCAGCCAAACACGCAGATGTGACTCGACTTCACACTCTGAGACTCTGGTTCTGGGCTGCGGTTCACTCAAACAATTAACTTTGTCAGTTGCAAGGGAACTCTTCAAGCAAAAATGCTGATACAACCCTTGCAAGTGTACTGTTCTTTCTTCGGATTCGGAGGTTCTCAAGCAATGGGTTCGACTTAGCACAAAGACTAAGGATTCCTTAACTTGACTCTATATGGAGGTTGGTCTAATGCCAAAGTGGTGGGGATGCAAAGGTCCAGGCAGTCCTATGAAAGCACAAAGGCCTTCTGCTGCAATTCACCCGAGACCTGAGACAAGTAAGGGGTCAGCGCAAGCCGGAGCTGACAGTTGCAAGTCACTCAGGGCACAAGGATGATATGTAGGGCTAAACAATCAAGTGATGGGCTTGGCTCTAACCTATCACGTGAAGCTTATATAACCGAAGGCAATATGGATGAGGCTGTTACCCAGTTAAACGCGGGATCCCAAACCTCAAAGACCCCGGTTTAATGAAACAGGCGCTCCTGTTTTCAACAGCTTGAGCCAAAAGTCAAGGTGCAAAACCAAAATGAAAATCTGTACTTAAGACAACACATGGAATGAATGAGTCATTCTGTACACACTCTTGGGGTCATATTCATTGATATACTTCTAACTAATGTAGATTCTTGATTAATACACCCCAAACGAAAAGGTTTTACCAAATAACATATTTGTGTTTCAGAAAATCAAGAGTCTACATCAGAATCCTCCATGTGTCCTCCATTCCCCCGTGCTGCCTGGCAGCAGGCTGATGGCCGCGCGGGTTGGCTTGCCGTAGGGCTTCAGTTGCCGCTTGAGACGGGACTCGGCAGCCGAGGCGAAATAGCCTGGCGGGCCCGCTGACCGCGTCGGGAGACCAAGACACCTGACCCTGGTGCCACTGACCATTGGCCAAAGTCAAAGTCTACGGCATTCGTTCTTTCTTTGAAGAAAACACTGGTAACCAGTCACCATGAAGTTTGTCCAGATTCTAGTTGTCTCAAAAAGATTTCCGTCCCAAATTGGCCGAGTAGATGTTTTTGGGACACTAGCATGTTTTATGGTCAACATTTGGCGGTCTTCCGATCCTGCACTAGTCTGCAGCAGGCCTTTTAAGGTAAAAACGACGCTAGAAATTCCGAATGAATTTGATCGTGTGCACACTATGCCTTCTGCCTAAGCTGGTACGAAGCTTGATTTGTCATGATGTCACGAGCGAACGTTGTCCCACCCCGCTTGGCCGAGTTCCAGTCCCAACGTTGGTTTCGGACCTGCAATGCTGCCAACGGAGACCACGCCCACAAAAAGAACCGGGCACATGAGCAGCCTGCCCGGGCACTCGGTGAGGCCAATGGAAACATCAAAAACTGTGCAGGGGGGGCGGTGCCCGCATGCTACCACCAAAGCAAGCATAGACATAAAAGGAAATGTAAACTTGTACTCCTGGCTACCACCACCAGGCCGTCTGAGGATCCTGCTTGGCGAGACAGCAGAGTGTCTTGAGCTTCCGACGAGCACTCTAGAACTATCTAGAACTTCACAGAAAGACACGCTGTTTTATCCCAAAAAGACTGAACAGAAAATGGGAGGCTCGGCTTGGTCCATCAAAACCTCATCGCGGAGGGGTGTAAGGCCTCATACTCTTGCTTGGAGCAAAGGCACCATAGCCCACAGTGCTGAGAGTGACCGTGGAGAAGTACAGACCATCAAGGATCGACTTCGATTCCTCGGGAGAGTGTGTTGAACTGGTTCTGGGAAAAACTAAAGCTACAACTCTCTACAACTACAAAGTAATACTACAACTACCAAGTCCAACCATCTGAACTATCTACAACTCCATCCTTTTCTCTTGAAATCCTCTCTCCGGAACCGGAGAAACGATGAGAGTTCCTCTCCAGTCCCACCTGGTGCACGACCGACGCTGATGCGTTGGTTTTGCCAAGCGACCTGATGGCCTCAGGGCGGCCGCGAAGGAACAACGAACAAGGCCCGGACCAGGGTGTCCCGTCCCACTGCGAATACCAGGTATACCAGTCGTTGGCAACCACTCATCTATTACGGGCCAGTTTTGGGGGCCGAAGGTGGGAGGACTTCGCCCTGACAGCAGTACCAGACAGTCGTGGTACTCAAAACGAATGGGTTTGGTGATTTTTTCCATTCCAACAGGGCAACACCCCCCATTATATAACCCGATGTCAAGGCAAGTGCCGGTGGAGGATGTCGCAGGTCCATGGCCAAGGCCCACCACCAACAAGAATGAGAGTCTGATCAATCTGAACAAGCCAACCGACCATCTGAGTGAAAGAGTCTTGCATCATCTTGCATTAGTTTGGCGCTTTTCCGCGAACCACCGCACTACCCCTGGCAGGTGCCACTCAACCGGCGAAAGCCGGGACGAAGGTACGCATGGTTTCTGAAAGCGCGGAGCGGTGACCGGGCAGAGGAGAAGAAAAAGAAACGTTTTGGTTGGCGAACCCCAACATGTTCCAACCAAACCTGAACCTCCAACTCTTCTCCAAGTGATGTGGTGAGAAGCCTAAAGCTATGCATTGAATGTTTCACACCTTCTGAACGACGCCGCGCTGCTGTAGCTCAGCGCCATGAGGATGATGAAGAACCCCAGCGCCGCGAAGTGCACCGCCAGCTGTGGAGCACGGAGAAGCCTGCGTCGGATGGAGTCGAATGGAGTCGCTTGGGTCCAAGAACGTTCAAGAACCACTGGTAGTTGAGCAAGGTGTTTATTTGAGCAAGTGAGTTCTTGCTAAGCTCCTAGTGTTCAATCAGGAAGCTTGAAAGTTTGGATCTTGGCAGATGCTCTTTCAAATGACAAATGATTCTTCTTGATGCATCTGTATCTATTGCGCCACAGTAATTTAGAGGGTTTGTGTTGTTTGGGGAGAATTAGGAAATACCTTCACCCCAACTAACACCTCCTGATGCTACTGACCAGCCAGGCAGGGAAGGACAAGTTTTGTGGGTCCACACCCTATTTCACACGATTTTTCACAGGAATACCCTCAGGTTAGAGACTGGGCCAAATCTTGGCTACTTCTTTGTTCTGTGCTCCTTTTGGTCAAGATCAACTGTTCCCCGACCTGAGACTTGGAAAGGATCACAGTAGAATCAGTAGAACAGCTTTTGGGCCTATCCCCGGAATCCCGGCTGTCCATGGCTGCCCCTACCCACCGGCGGCTCACAGATGGCCTGCCCACGCGTGTGACCTCTCGCTCCACTCGAGCTCCAACGATGCCCAGCACCGCGCTCACCTCAAAGCGGTGGCTGTTCGCTTGTCCTCAACAAGCCTGGTGAGGCACATTTAAAAAACTTATGGCCTCCTGGCGTTTGGGCATCTTTGGAATCCAGGGTGTGGTGAAATATCCCTCGGAACGAATCGTCCAATCGGCTGGTCCTCAACATCACCCAAATGTCTCAGCCGCTCACCGACCTCCAAAAGGGCAGACGTGCCTCTCTCTCTCTCTCTCTGCGCCAAAACACGCCAAGGCACTACCAGGACATTGGTCCAAATGAAGGTGATGCCAAGAAGTCGGCAGAGAGGAGACTCACAGGGGGTCAAATCACCATACCTTCCAAGTGTCACTGTCAGAGGCAAACAGAATCACCCCCCCCGAAAAAAAAGGGCGGGGCCGAACCGGGCGGCAGAATCTTCCAGCCCACATGTCTTCACTGGATGAAGCTCTACATGTGATGGTCGTTTTACGACTTTAAATGGGTGTTTTTTCGTGGCCGTTTTAGTTGGATGTTCTGTGCCAGGCGGCCCCACGGTTGTAAGTGTCACCATACAGAAGTAGAAGCCATCAAGGAAGGACCAATCCCCTGAACGAAGGAGCGCCAGGGTCGACATTTGGACATGTGCTTGGACTTAAAAAGAGACCGAAGCGACCATGAAAAGACCCTGAGACGCTGCAGTCTGGCATGCTCTAAGCTGTTCATTGAACTGAAGTGGTGATCAAGATATCTCCTCCGTGACTCCTACTTGTCTCACTTCAAGAATTATCTTCCAAACTTGACAAACATGGGCCTGCCAAAGAAGAGAAAACTGCCGCCCAGATGGCCAAATAGCTTCCAACAAAGACTGCTACGGCAAACTCCGCCTCAAACGGCACATAATGCCTCATCAGGTCAAGCGGAAGAAAGACAAGCAAAAAGCAAGTGACCGACATGATGGGTCATGTGAGGCCTGCAAGAGACCACCTATTTTGGGATGAGATTCTGGATACCCCCATCACGGAGTTCAGACCCGACCACAGCTCCCGGCCCCTCCTGTGAGGGATCTCAGGCAACGTCGGGGCTTTGCTGGTGATTGGAGACGCAAAGCGGTCCCTCGGCAACGGTACAACTGGAACTGGTCGTCGTTCCATGGCGTGTTCCGCACTGTGAGGCTGGTGTTGTTCAACAAAAGGCTTCTGCTTGTATCACATATTCGGGAGGTCAAAGAACTGAAGTGATGCAGGGAACTGTGTGGTATGCCACTTGGGGATTCAATAGAAAGCAACAGCGATGCTCGGGAAGAGCGATGTAGAACATCGGGCATAGAACCCATAGACCATCCCATGGGTCTTTCGGTCTTTCCAGCTTTTGAGGTGGGTGAGGGCGTTGAAACACAGCGGCAAACAGGCTGAAAGAGAGGCAGTTGGCAGTTTGTTTCAAGACCAAAAAAAGATGCACTCTATACATGTCTATGGTGTAGTCGTCCAACGTCTTCTCTGCCATTTTATCAACTTGAGCTGCCTGCACAGTTGGCATGTCTTGATGCACAAATGAATATCCCGATACACAAATGTGTCACCATCAGCTGAAGTGATTTCTGTGATTCCTACCTTCTCAAAGGCAAATTCCACCAAGAAACTTTTGAACTCCTTTCAAGCAACGAGTTGAAAACTCACCAAGTTTCTTGGGGCCGCTCAGTTCAAGCTACCCATCGAGGCTTTGCTCGAAGATAAAAACCATGACCATGTCAATCAAGCAAAAATTGGTCGTCTCGACCACTGTCACCGTCACTCGGTCCTTTTGATCAAAGCTTGCTGGGTGGAGTCTGCCGTTCCTTTCGGGACTTGGTGATTTCTTCTCGGATGTCTCTCTTTTGGATCTTTCCGGTGGCACCTGCAGACAGCCCCGAAGGAAACATGACAACGGAAGGAAAACAATGGAAAACTGCCAATCTGGTGTCTGAAAGAATCAAAAGCATAGAGTCTATGTGTGCAAGTCCCATGAAACCAACCAAACGACATGAAAAAGATACTTGCACTCACGTTCACATTCCTTGACAAAGGCTCAACAAAGACTTCGCTTCCATAAGTATCAGGCACAAGCCGCGGACAACGAGCGAACCTTTCGAACCCGCGGAGCACCCGGAACACTTCCCCCTCCGAAAAAGAACCGTCTGGACCCCTCCCCGCGAGCCTCGAGGCAAGGCCTCCTTCCACACAAAGACGTCCGACGGCACCTGGACCGATGCATTGGAGTCAGCGGTGTTTTTCCATCGGTTTCAAGGTGGCCAATCGAAGGACCCTTGTGCCAAGAAGAATTGATTTAAACAATTTCAATAGAAGTAAAAACACAATGAAAAAACTGTGGAGGAAGGGTCTGCCTGTTCTAAAACACTCCCATACAGGTTGTCATCCCTCTCGTTGGAGGATCCCTTAAGTGTGAACCCCTCAACAGCAATATTGAGGACATCCTCGTTCACTTGGTCTAAAGATTCCTGGTCACTTTGGTAACGATCTGCACTAAGAATTAAGAATATATAAATCAAAGAAAGAACATTGAGGCCGAGGCTTAACTAGCATACTCCCAGACTAACCTGGACAAACCAAACACCACCTCTGCAATGCAACAGTGTCGAGTCTTCACAGGGTCCCTTTTCCATCTCCGTGTGAGGAAGGACACGCCGTCCATGGGAGGAAGGACCGCATCCACCCCAAGTGGCGTACCATATGTCGCGGCAACAAGGAGGCCGCATGCTCTCGCAGTTCTTCTGCATCTGGAGCTGAGCTTCCTGTCCTCGCGAAGCGCTCGCATTGCTTCTAGCTTCCCATCGAAACGACTTCTCTCGGTGGCTACGGTGTGCCGTATTCTACACGCTTGGTCCAAGTCGCTTAAAAACCACAGCGACAGCTACGGTCTCGCCCAGGTTCTCGTGAGGCAACCCAATGGCAGCGACCTCTGCCACTGTCGGGTGCTCAAAGATGGCCTGGAACAAAAATAACATCCAAAGTCGATGCAGGAATCATTCAAGTAGCTGACACAGTATCATGAGAACAAGATGGTTCATGAGTGGTTCCATTGAACCCACAGTCAGACCCTCTGAGCATCTCTTTCGGCACCTGCTCCACCTCCGCGCACGAGATATTCTCGCCACCTGTCGTTCCCGGTTTTCTGGAGCGACCCCGGCGGACCCGGGACACTGGTCAGTTCCACCCTGCCTCGAATGATGATGTCTTTGGCTCGATCCAAAATGTAAACAAAGTTCTGCTCATCCAATGCCCCGATATCACCCGAGCGAAACCACAACTGGCCATGCTCATCGATATGAAAGACTTCTGATGTTTTGTCTGGCTTTCTCCAGTACCTTACTGTAGCACCGTCGGTACTAGCAAAAATACATGTGTTCCTGAAGGTGAACACGTACTTTTGGGTATGATGCTCCTCGGAGTTGTGAGTTGTGTCGTTTCATGCTCAAAAACAAGCGAACACGACATGTCTAAAACATTCTGCCAGAAGCACTGCCGTACAAGCAGCATGTCCTCCGCCTTATCATCCAAGCTACTCCTTCATGATAGTAGCCCCTCGGAAGCAAATCTCACCGACACCCCCGGGAGGCAGCTTGTGGTTGTTCTCATCCAGGATGCAAACGTTGACGTTCACTGCCGGCAAACCACAGGAGGTGGGTCGTGCAGGGAAAAGCTCAGCCGGCATCACTACACTGACGGCATTGGTTTCCTGAGCTCAGCTGGCAGTGTTTTCAACACATGTTGCTTTCCCCACAACCCTGTTTCAACCGCGGAGACCGTTCTTCTTCATCTGCATGATTTTGTTAAGCGCCATTCTGGCCATCGCAGCTCCAAAATTAAAGTATCTCGAGGCAGGTTGACCATGTCTGCTAATGTTTAGACTCTTGATTCATAAGCCCAATTGTTCATACGGGGGGTTTACGGTCCTCAAGAGTCTACATTAGTCCCCTTTGCTCACTTTCTCGAAAAAACACCCCGCTTCCTTCCTTTCCCCCACCTTTTGCGCCAAAGCAAAGGCATGAAGCTTCACACAGCAAACCATGAACCACTTGCTTGTGTGCAAGAAAGGAAACACCCCAGTGCACACCCCAACCAGTGCACCACTTCGTTTCTGCTTTGCACCCAAGTCGCCGTGAGCCCATAGCCCGTGGAGGCGCGCGCGTTCTGGAAGGTGTCCTCGTTGTCTTCCGCGGAACCCGAAGAGGCCGGTCGGGTGGTCCGAAGAGGGCGGACGTGGTCCCAGCAACACATTGAAAGATGAAGTAGGTCATAACAGAGTGAAGAAAGAGGTGCGCCTGATGCTGCGCCTGATGCTGCTATATAGATGCTAGTGTTTTTTGGTTAGCCAGTGGCTTGATTTGGATGTCGCTCACATCACCCATTGAAAACCAAGTGGAATGGGATTTACTATGCATTCTAAAGCAAGAATGAGGCCGGGCGAAGAAAAGGTCTCTCTGACTGGGCATCAGCCTGCTCTTGGTCGACTAGGACCATATTTACACGCTGCCCAAGAACAACACACCATGGTGAACTCCACACACATCGCAAGCTCACACATCACCTCTGAAACGGTGCATCGCATGTCTATGGTAAGCTTTTGCCGCATCTGTTCTTCTCTTGTCTCTCTTGTGCCAGTTCACATGGTGTGGAGAGCATTGAGCGACCGCAGCTATCAAAATCAAGTCAACTTCCGCGACAGGGTTCGAGAAATCATTCTACAAATCAGCCTTCTTCATGGCTGAGATGGGAAGGAAAGCATCGCGACTGCATTTACGGATTGCGGTCACCTACAGCGGTACGGCCTTAGCCGACTCGGAAGCGAGAGGACCAATCGGTGTTGTCGCGCCTTTTGATTTGCCAACTCGACCAACACTTACGTCTGTCTTTTTTTGATGCATTCTGACACGTGTTGGACAGATACCGATAGCATCACAAGTATCAATCAGTCTAGACATACCAAAATTACAAAATTACACGGGCATAGACCCGAGACAGCAACTCAAAAAACAAAAGCACCTGGGACAAAAATTCATTGAGTAGCCAAATAAAGTCAGAGAAGCAGGGAGACAAGTCAGGAGACAAGGTAGCAGCGGCAAACAAAACGCCGATCAAACAAAACAAGTGGGGAGACAAGTATGGAGACAAGGCAGCCGCAGCAGACAAAATCGCCAAAACAGACAGGCAGACAAGTGGGGAAACAATGGGAAACATGTCAACTCAGATCATGCAGACAAAAAAGTGCAGAAACAAGTCAGGCAGGCAAGCGGGGAGACAAGTGGGGAGATAAATGGGAAGGGCGATCACACAGGCAGATATATAAGATTACACAAGTGAAGAGACATGTGAGGAGACAAGTGGGGAGGCAAGGCAGCAGCGGCACAGCTGCGGCAAACCAAAACGGCGATCACACAAATCACACAGGCAGACAAGTGGAGAGACATGTGAGGAGACAAGTGGGGAGACAAATCAGCAGTGGCACAGCAGCCGCACACAGCAGCGGCAACACCAAAACGGAACACAGGCACCCACTCATTGAGAAGTAAGAACTATAACTATAGCTATCGCTATCTGGTGAAAAAGAGCCAAACATGTCAGGCATAAGGAAAGTCGCCCACGTTCATTTTGATCATCCATAGGACAAGCGTCTGCTCACAAATTAGTGTTCATGTTTGACCATGAGGATCTTAAGATAAGTGCCTGTAATTGAGTGTGGGCATAGAGCTGACACGGAGCGGCATGGAGACGGAGAAAGAGGTGCAGGTATGTTTCATTTTTTGTTTGGGTATCATCCCTTCTGGCGCAGACTAGATATACTGATATACCAAAAATACAAAAAAAAATGGCGATACAAAAAAAAGTAACTTCGTGGGTTGGCTTGATTGAAATGAAAGTGACAGGCTTGGTCAAAAAGACCGAGCCCCAACAAATGGCTCTGGGGGGGTTCTGTCGTGTTGCGGGAGGATGGAGTTGATTTCAGGCGGCCATATCTTGGAGGAATTCCAGTCGACTCTGGGGATAGAGTCTTCGACTCTGAGTTCGTAGCTGTTTTCACCATGGCAACATTTAAACCAAGAAACGAACACCAGTCAGCACCTTGCTTGGAGAAAGGTCACCGACGGCGACCCGGGACACCCTGCTGGCCACCCGGTGACCCGGGAAACACCGCTGACCCTTCTCCTTCACGCGTTTGATCATGGGGGCGGCAAAAGCTGCACCACCACCTCCGACACCAACCATGGAGGAGGTATCATACTTCTTGAAATCCGGATGATTCACCTAGGAATATCGGTGCCAAATGCAAACCAAGGCAAGCAGCTTGGTGAAAGCATCGCTTGGACCAGGCCTTTCGAAAGGCCTCACACTAGAGTCACAAGACATAAACGGAACGCATCTATAGGATCTCCCGTCTAGTCGATGTTCTACATTGTGGATGGTTGGTTCAATGGCGCCATCCAAGGTGCCAAGTCGTAGGTGTTGGTCGGTACACCCACGATGGCTTGTACTTTCTCATCTTCGATCAGCTTCAATGCGCGGCCCGCATCCCATTTGTACATCATCACCAGTTTCTCACCTAGCAGCGACAAAAAAGACACCGGCGAGTCTCCAACAAAACCTGATTGTTTTGAAGATCCCGGTGTGCATTTCCATGGTGAAGTCATGAAAAAACCCTCATGTTGTAGAGATGAAACGCTTATTCTCCAGCCTGAATGCGAGAGTAAAGTGGGGAAATGGTAACGAGGATGATCCCACTTGGAGACTTGAGAAGCTTGAAACTTTTTACAATAATTAGGAAGGGATTGGAACAATCTTAACAACAATGGGAAAAAAAGCTAGTTTTGGCAAGTGAGGAAAGCTTCACAGGACATCCATTCAGCCACACCAGCAAAGCTGGAACATACCGCCAAATGCCTTGTGATATCACGAGGAACCTAGAAGCTTATTCCGAAAACAAGTAGGATCCCTACTCATGGAAGGAGGGATCCGATTCTAGTCCATCTTTCCTTCAAGTCCATTGCTTTCATTTGCTTTCATAACCTACTAGCATAAGGAATCTAATGTCGATGGCCTCCAACCTAAGAGCGATGGCCCCAACCTACTAGCATAAGGAATCGAGTGCCTTCGTACAATGCGCTGAAAAGAGCGCCGTGGCCCACAAGCACACAAGCACCTCCTTCCTCCCGCCCAAAGAGGGCGGAAACCCCTGGACCCCGCATCCCATTTGCCTCTGCAAATCGAGCCGAACAGGCCCACATGAGAGCCATTCCTCGGTCGCCAGTGACACACTTTGCTCCGTTCATAGCTTCTTGTTCTTAGTAAGTATGGCCAGGAGCCCCGAGCCCCGTTAGCGTCCTTGTTCCTGAAAAAACCTTCAGATTCCAAAATGAAGAAAGGCAGACTCCTTCTCCCAGGGCCATCAGCAGCCGTGGTTCGGCTCCTTCCCACCCAGCGAAGGAGCCGAACAGAGCGCTTTTCGGACGAAAAGCGTCGTCCGTCTCGGTGACCCGCGCCTTTGGATTGGAACCGATCCATGTTTGACTTCTGTTTCCGTTTGAGAGTTTCATGTCCATCTGGTCCATCTATGTTCAACCATTTAACCCAGAGGCCGAGCTTTTATCTCTTTGATATGGATTGGTTCAGGCCTTTTTTTGCACTCCCGCCATGGAAAGCAGAAAGAGCAACACCACATGGAAAAAGCCACCCACAACGTTCCCTGTATCCGCTGCATGCGAGGGACACATGAAACAGTGGGGACGCAAGGATGACGTTGCGCTGTGAGCTTACTTCCTTGCCATAGTTCCAGAGACCTCAAAGCTTAAAGGTGAGGCTGCAAAGCCCAACTTGGCCATTTGGGGCCATGACCAAAAGCCATGGTGTGACACAATCTTTGTTTGCTGCTCAACGTTGACGAAACGACCAGCAGTCACAAGACGGGGTGCCAAACGAACGGAGGAAGTCAGGATGCCCCCGTCACATACACGGCCCCTGGATGGGACGAACAAAACAACCCAGGCCCTCCATGTGACTCCGATCGTATGCCAAGACACTTAACGTGTTGGTCGCGGAACAAATACCTCTATGAGTCAGCACCACTCCTTTCCTGCAAAGGCTCAAGGCATCGCTGTTTGTAGGTGAAAGCCTACAAACACCCCACTCAGCTAAACATGCCAACTGCAATGTTCAAAAGAATCAAACATCAAGTGATGAACGGAAAAATGGATCCGCTCTCAACGAACCATCGGATCCGCATGACCAAGTCTCGGCATCGCCGTGGTGCCCGAGGTGTACATCAGCATCGCGCGATCCTCGGCGCGGCGCCACGACCGCCGGGCGAACGAAGGGCGGCGAACCCGCGCCACGACCGCTGGGCGAGTCAAAAGAGGCCGGTCACGGTGTCGTTTGACTCGGAGACCGACAACATGTATCTCCCCCCAAAAGAAAGGGCCACTCGTGCTGCTCGTGCTGCTCCGAGGGACATCTTGATCTACTGGACGTCTTGGCAAAGGGTTCAACGATTTGCCCAGAATCACCAGTTCTTCAAAGCGTTGCGCATTCTGCGGTGGTATCCGCGCGCCAGCTCGCATGCACACTGCCGGAATTCCTGAACAAAGGAGCCTAACATGTGTCCTTGTCATACACCCAATTCACTCAAACAACAGGAAGTCAAACTGCGGAGGTTCAGTTTGAGCGTCCCATCTGCTCCAAAAACGGTGCCCTGTCCAAGCGCTCTAAATCCGCGACAAGTAGGCAGGTTTGGGAGTCTTCCAAGCCGTACCTGATATTCGGTCACGCAGATGCATTCAGCTCGCCAAATACCCTCCCTCCAATCAACATGGAACGTCATATGCCATCCACATTCATTATTGGTTGGAGGGTACGATGTTCGTATTCAAAGAAGTCCAACCCCAAAGCTTGCAGCTTCCACCAAAAAAAGGCATTTATATGGCCAAACTGCTTCAGCTCGGTGCCTGTCCACCACGCATTCACCGGCAATGAAACAGCACTTAGGAATCCATTGACCGCAATCAATGTGAAGACCCATTCCTCAGTGAGACGTCGAGCCTGAGCGAGGCCGAGGCCTGCCCGACGCTTGGCAAAGAGACAAACTTCGGCTTTAACGAACGGTGCCAAACAGAGCAGGGCCAAGCAGTCTACCAAATTACTTGAAGGAAAGCATGTTGTGGAGACATGTCGTGGAAGGGAACGTGATGTTCAAATAAACCAGGATTGCTAGCCTGGCATGCCCACAAACAGTATGCTCTGTTGCATATCAAGACTCTGGAAAATTTCTGCCAGCGATCGCAACGCAAGAACCTCAGGGTGTCTAGGGTCTATAATGTCTATCGGGCAAACTAGAGGCTGTGCTGCTTTGCTCAAATTCTATGTTTTACTGTAATATTCTCTCACATGCCTTTTCTCACTAGGCTTCGTGTTCAACGCTTTAGGTACTTGCCACACTTCAGGTCCTTGCTCTCTCAAATTCTAAATCTAGCGTCTTCATGAGTCTTCAACTCTCAAAAAAAAGTCACAAAAAAGAACACCAAACCAACGACCAACCCCCCGCGTGGCCCGGTCGGCCATCCGGTCGACCACTTGAAAAACCGGTGCCTCGCTGCACGCCGTAGGTCTGCGCCAACGTTCGGGACAAGGCCACCGCGATGTCCAACGTCTCACCGTAGGTGAAGCGGTCGCCTTCATAGACCTGGGCCGCATGCGTGCGATTGTGGCCGCGTGCGTTTTGCTTTTCCCAGAAGGCTTTGACATGCTGGAGGGATTATATATATATATATATGTTATATAAGTTTGCCTTTTTGCTCCCCTCTGGCGTTCGGCGTTTCTTGCGCCGGGAGGCCAGGAAGTCCTTGTCCGTGTGTCGAGCGAAGCTGTCGCTGAAGAACTCCGGCAGGGTGTGGCAGGTCAGGCTGTTCGGGCCCTTCTGGTAGCAAAGATATCTCCTCAAACGGGCTGAACAGTTTTCCTGTGTCTCGCCGAGGTCGGACGTAGCCAGACATTGTATGTATATATATATATAATTGTACTATATATATATATATATGCAAGAAAACATGTGCCCGGGAGAGCATGACAGGCAAACAAGTAACCCGGGGGAGGCATGCCGTAGACTGCACTAAACCGCCGATGGACCGACCTTGGAATTTGTTGGAAACCCTGGGAGAAAGCCAAATGTGACGGCCCCATATTCTCTGGAAGACCAAGGTCAAGGACCTGTCTATTCTCAATCAACGAAAAATGGTCCATGAAGCTGCCTGGACCCCTCGCGAAGTGAACCCAACTCCAAGTCTCTGCGAAGTGCCAAAGTGCTCGACCTCCTCTTCAGCCAGCGGAAAGGGGCCATCAGCAGCCGTGAGCTGCTCCTGAGCTCCTGAGGAGCTGGAGCATGGCAGCTCCCGACAAAAAAACCAACGGATCGACCGTGTGCATGCGTTTTCCCTTTCGAAAAAGACATCCCAGCGGATGGTTTTCTTTCCAACCTGTTCAACTGAGGCCGGATGTTTTTTCCGATCTCAAGACACGACCTAGTTTTGGGGTGGACCGAACACAATACTTACTAGAAACTCCATCCGATCGCAAAGAACATTGATCTGCTGTCAAAATGTTGGGTCGCCGCTGAGGTTTGGGGTCCCAGTTCGATCAAAAGGTTCGAACTGTTCTTGTGCCGATCAAATGCTGCACCTGTGATGTTATGTTGTGTTGATGCAGCAACAGGAATGGACCCGTTTGGACATAGGGGACCGCCAGGAAAATTATTGGTCTATCCATTTCCCGCAACCGTCAGCGGGATGTGCAACATAACCAGAGGGCATAGAGACCAGCTGGTCCCCTAGAGTAACCACTTTCAATGTACCTAGAGTTGTTGGGGGCAGGGCGCAAACGGCCTTGGAACTTGCACATGTCACGCAAGCAGTCACTCACTGAGGGCGTTGTCCCCTCTGTTCCTGGCTACTCGACTCAGCAGCTACTCTGTTCCTCTGATCTAACTTGGAGTAGACCTTCCTCCAAACGAAGCCTCTGAGCAAACAAGCGTCTCCGCAAACTCTCTAAGGTCTTGCTCACATAGGTGTCATCAGTCTCTGGATCCATGGCTGCTTGAGGGTTCGAAGTTGGCTGCCGTCAGTAGTCCAAGTTCCCGTTGGATGAGGAACCGGCTGTGGCCAGAAGCAACGGGGCCCACCTATGCCACACCAGTCAAGAAAAGGTCAACTAAACTTGTGGTACCTGCGTTTCTGGCCATATCCACATACCCACATTCACAACCAACTGAGGTGGAACCGTGCCGAACTTCAGAGGATTCCACTGTTTCGTCCGCGAAGCCAACATGTGTCAGCTCAAGCCCTGTACATGGAAGCACAACGAGTCTCCAGAAGCAAGCCACAAAGGAGATCATGGTCTCTTCATCTAGACACATGACATACCCCAAAAAGAGAGAAACGATGTCCAATGCATTCTTTGAGAGGATGTTTCTTTTTACTGCATCTATTTTTGGAACTACAGTATCTGTGGGATGATTGAAACTTGGCTATTTGTATGGTGTGAAGGGCAACCCTGCAACTGTAGCTTGTTGGGTGAGGGCTCTTGTAAGTTTTGGTGTCCTATCCATTGTCAGTAAACAAGAAGATCCCCCCAGTGTTAGTGCAATGACAAAGTACATTCAGTCAAAAAGATCTGCTAGTTGAACTTGGGGAAGTGCACTTGCGCACTTTCTCGCAAGACCGCTTTCTGGAAACTTGGGCAAAAGCAACGAGACATGGGCCGTGCCCAGACTTTTTGGACAGACAGCACAGGCAAAGCACTGGTTGTCAACGTGATCAAAGCTCGACAAGGTCGTATTTGCGTTCGGCATTCCTGTTGATGCAGTTGTCAATGTCAATCAATCTGTGTCTTGGCCGACTCACCTCGATTGAATTGATACCTAGATTGCATCTGTACGGGGAAACCGCGCGGCATTATGTGCTTGGCAAATGCCTTTCATAGTGCGCGTTCCAATGGGCGTCAAAAATCATCAGCTGCAACCTTCATGATCTTCCCCAAAAGGCTCAAAACTACCTTTTGAGAATAAGAGTCTTCGAGCCTTCAAGAAACAAAATGATGGATTTGATCCCGCACGATTCAGAAGGCTGCACTGAAGTCCTTGCTCGGCCCCCAATGACTCAAGAGTGGTTGATCCTTGACAGCGGGCGTGAGATGTTCAGCTGTTCACAACATACTTCACAACAGGTGGTTGTAGGTGGTTGTAGGATGTTGTAGGTCATGGCACCGGAAAAAAGAAGACAAGGGAGGATAAGGAAAGCCTGCCTTTACTGGGCTGTGCGTCCAGCCCATCCTACGCCCAAAGCACAACTGACGAGTCTATCGAGGCAGGCCTTTTCTCCCAAAATGCTCATGGCTGAAGCAAGGTGCCTACAGAGCAGTGAAAACGTGGCAACAACTGACAAGCACCGCCGCCAACGTGGCAACAACTGTCGGTGGCTGAAGCAACGTGCTTCTTCTTCCCATCAACCGAACCACCGGACCACAGAGACGGATCGATGAATCGGTGATCTTTTTTGCTTGAAAACGCCCGGATGAGGACAGGACATGGTGAACACAACATATGTCTGTCCTGATGTCCACTTATACTACATTCTAGCATGTCTCAAAAGTTTAGGTTTGCGCTGTAAAACCTCCCATTGATCCCCACAAAAGAACATAGAACATGATTGCTCCTAGGTTGCTCTGCAAAACCATTTCTTAAGGACTCCGCTTGACGCCGTTCTTTCGTTTTCCCCACAAACCGTAGACCCCCGGGCTGCCACACGACTCCCACGAGGAATCGTCCCAGTACCTGGGCGCAGCCAAGACCATGCTGCGTGCCCCGGGGCGTCTGTCAGTGTCTCTCTTTTCCCTCCTGAAGAGAGGTCATCACAGAGTCATCACAGGCATCGTCAACTCAAAAGGACTCGTCTCTCAGAATTTTTCAGGATCGCAGCGATGCTGCGATGCCCTCAAAAGTCCTCCTTTTTCTCAGACCAAAGATTCTTACGACACATCTCCGGCCCTCTGACTGAGTCCGAAGCGCAGACTCTTGAGGCACCGAACGGGAACTCAAACCACCAACCTCAGTTCTTTCAGATTGGAGCGAAACAAGACACTCCATGTAAAATGCAGGAAAGCCACAAATACTTGTCCTGCGAAGCCGGACGGGTCGCGGTGGCATTTTCCGCAACTATGTAACTAATGATAGTGCAGCAATGCGATTCAAAATGACCAGTGGGAGTTCATCCAAACATTCCATCTAGGAAATTCTAGGAACCTAGGGAGGTAGAAATGGAACAGCTTTCGTTCTAAGGAGCGGTCATTCCTACTCGTCATTCTAAGATTTCTTTGTTCTTTCTCGTTCCCCAGTCAAACCCCATGTCATGTCTCGACAGCATGTTCTCTGAAAGGCTCTTCGCCTCGATGTCATTGTCATTGCGCCGCATGACGTATGCGGCCACGGCCGCAGATGCAGCTCCTCTCACCATGTCACACGACTGGTCACCCTTAGAAAACGACTCAAGAGTACTCTGTACACCCTCCACCTGTGGGTCAGCAGCCAGCAGGATTCCCCACAAAAAAACGTACGTCAGCGGCCGGAAGCCCACGTCAGCATGAGCGTTCTCGGACAACGGCGTTTGGGGCGTTTTGTGACACCCCGAAGACTTCAGGTGGGACGAAGAGAGCCTCAAAAGAGCCCCAAACCGAAGAGTCAGAGGGCTCGGAAGGAAAATAATTACACCCCAAGCGCTGGGTTTCTCTCAACTCACTCGCTGCAACCCTTCCTGCCACCGCTGCAAGCACTACGAGTGCCAAGACCTTGGCCAAAGTCTCATCTGTTCCAGTCCACACCAGCTGTGCAACGGCTGCGAATGTGCTGCAATGCTTTACCAGTCAGGTAAAGATGGTCAAGGCTCAAATACAGTACTAGCTTCTGGGTTGCGCCCTCAATCTGTTTATCCTGCGTCTGGAAGCTTCCTCTGTCAGCATGCTGAGTGTCGTGCATTGCCGTCGTCAGCGACAAGGGTGACTGGAGCTGCACCGCCCTGCGAACCAGGATGGTCCAAACAGCACGGTCCTCATGCGTGCGATGCAAATCATGTCCTTCCAGGCCCAATTTGCCTGAACAACAGCACCCTGGTCCAATGGTTGAGGAAGACCGGAGCGCCACTTCTCCCCCTTTTCGCCCTCCCCAGCGCCTGCTTAGCGGAGCGGATCAGCTCTCGCGTATCCTCAATGGCACGCTGACGCGCATGCTCCTCCTGACGTGTGGTGCGGAAGCAATGCGTGCGAGTGCGGAAGCAACTGCAGCGCAAACCAATAGAGTGTCTTGTCGAAAGTTTTTTCGTTCCATGTCGGCTTCGTGCCATCCGCACTTTCTCTGTTCAGTCCGTTCACCAGGATTGTTGTGGGGGAGCTACAATCAATCAATAGCAAAGGGCATTTATCTGACTTACAGGAGCCTGGTACTAAATGCTGTTGGCAAAAACCTTAGCCTAGGCGTTACGCAAGTGAAGCGCCCTTTCCAACCATCGACTCGCCTTCTTCTGGTTTTTGCTGAACTCCCTGTGGCGCTGGACAGCGAGCCACCGTGCGTTTGGTTTTACACATGTGTGAAAAAGTTTGATCGCGTCCTGGTAACTCTCGCTGCAGAAGGTTGAAAACTGCGCTATCCAGAACGTGAAACCTACTACTCTGCATAGGATGTGCGCTTGACAGTGGGAGTGGGTGAAGGATGACGGTAAAGTTCCTGAGGGATGTTGAACCAGTGCTGTTAAGTTCCACATCAAAACCTTGCAACCTCGCTGGTCCCGAAAATTCTGAAATCTGACCCTTTCTTCATATAGATTCTTTTTGAAGGCACCTAATGTATTCTTGACTAATGAAACCCCCCAACCAGAATCGCTTTACCGGTTGTTCATCAACCATCCACTATAATAGATCTACTGCCGCCACCCCTGCTTCGGCCCAATGCCTGGGAAGCTCACGCGCGGCATCTTCCGTCACACGGGCACCTACAAGTAGAACAGAAGCGCGGCGTCTTCTGTGTTCAACGAACCCAGGGCCCCGCAAGGCAGAGCAGGGTTTGTTCCTTCTAAACTAAACATGGTGCATTTTGCCACAAGACCCAATATCTGTTTTCAGGGCTGGGATTTTGTGTATTGTATGCCGTGGTGTGCAAGAAAAAGAAACTAGTAACTATAAGCTTTCATGTACTAGTATGTTGGCATCACGTCAAGCTCCTTACGCATGCCGAAGCGAAATTGGTGGGGACATCGCACTGGTCGCCGGTCCACACGCACCTCGTTCTGAGGCGTCCTGCACCTTTCGCGCTGCCTCCTCCGCAGCACGGTCCATCCTGGTGGTCACAAAAGAGTCGGAAGAGTCAGAGATCCTTCTCCGAGCACCCAAAGTGAAAGTCCAGCTCTGCTGAGTGTTCTCCTATCTGAGCGATCTGAATCCTCCTTTCTTTCAGTTCTGGACTTCGAATGCCGGGCGAAACACTCGGCTCCAGCAAGCGCCGGCGCCAACGACTCAACGACGCCAACGACTCGGATCACCCGGTGCCAGTCGTCAACCTCGACGGGTCGTCGAAAACCAACGGGTGAAGACTGCAGCAGCGTCTCCACCCACGCCCGTCCGGCCCCTCCTCTCCGAGAGGTCGGGCAGGTCATACCTCCGCGCCACCCGCGAGAGGTGGTCCGTCTTGCTGCGCGCCACCCGAGCCATGCGGTCCGCCTGGGAGCCGGTGAAGCTTCAATGGTTTTAGGAGCGATTGGGGCGGGGAGGTCATGTTGGTGAATGGCATATGGGTTTGCCAAACTACCAGCGCGTTGAGGAAAAGTAGTTGGGACTTACACTTGTATAAGCAATGATCCGTGCCCTACTGCCCCCGGCCTGCTCCTGCACATCACGGGCACTATCACGCCCAAGGTCCTCACGCTGGTGCACAAAACACGCAACTAAATAAATGCCTAGAAACCAAGACAAGATCGAGCCAAAGCCAAACAAGCTTGAAATAATGAAATATACATATATATATATATAGAGAGAGAGAGAGATAGAGATAGGTAAATAATCATGAATTATATGTGTATACATATGTATACAGTATATATATATATACATATACAGCATATACATATATTATATATATATATCAAAATGAGGGACCTGGCAAACCGTCCAGCAAATGATTTTTGAGACATCCTCAAAGGAGCTCTCTCTGGGTCACTTTACTTATAAAAACAATCTGACCCACCGACCGCAGGGCTTTCTGGAAGCTCCTCAGCGCCCCTGGAAGCATGCTCCAACTCCCGTGCAGTGCGCTGGGACAGCCTCTGCAAGCGTTCGTCGGCCTCCTGGTCGCTCGGACCGCGGGGGTTCCAGTCTGGACTGGACTCCAAGCATTTGCAGTGCATCTGCCACATTCGAAGGGGCGGGCTGGGCCTGACAAAGAGCACAAACCTAACATTCGAAGGTGGAGTAAACAGAGACCAGCTAGGCCCTTTTTGGGCTATGTTCGTTTGGTGTTCAAGACTAGCTCCTCCAGGCCCCCCCAGATCGAACCGTTTGAAACCAAAACATCCAAAACTGGGACCAGTCTCCTCCATGGCACGCAGAGTTTCTTGGGCAGCGTCCAACCGAGACTTGCCCACCTCAGCAGCAGCCTCCTGCACGGGGCAGCGTGAAAGGGGCGGCGGACCCCCGGTGGGGCGCGTCCCGGCCACCCGTGGGCACAGTCTAGGCCAAGACCTGGCTTCCTGACCCTACAACCCGAAACTGTATAGCAAAACCCTACAGCTTCCCTTAGACCTAATGCCATAGCCACGGCTTGTCCACATCTTCGTCCTCCGGACATCCGACCACGACCCAAAACGGGAGACGACACACGCAAACCCGCGCGCGCGCGCAGTTTGAGAGAACAAGGCGCCGCGCACCGGTTGGACGAAGCCCTCGCCTTCTGAAGGGAGACGAAATGCTCCGAGAGCTCCTTCTTGCTGATGGACAGCTCCGACCTTCCACGCGCCGGAAGAGGACGGGCTGCTCGCTGCGGTTCGGCGGGGAGACTGGGTGCGGATAGGCTTGGCTTAGGCATCGGATGGGTGGAAGCAGCCAGGATGGAAACACCTCCAGCACCAGCTCGCCAGCTTGTGGCCTTTGAAACTTCCTAGGTTGTCGTGTGTCAATGAGGGGTCTGAGCTTTGCAAGCTGGAGTTACCATCCAGGATCAAAGAGCAGGGGATTAAGAGTGAGCAATCTCCCCATCGTACAGGGAGGGCTTTATTGTTCTGATACGCAGAAACCAAAAAACGGACTTGTCAGAGATGTTTGACTGCGTCAGATTGGCAAACCCCTGGAGCAATGAGATTCCAAGGCTTCCAAGGGTCTTTTCTCGGATGTCTAGACTCTAGACAGCCCCGCAGGCCTGCCATAGGTTGGAAATGATATTTCCTTCAGGATCATGCAAGTGGAAAGCCTCCCTGTTAGTAGAGGAAAAGAGTCTTCCAATGGGCCATGCCATCCACTTCCGCATTCATGGGAGGGATGCTAGTAAAACTGGTTCAACAATCCTTCGAAAGGACCTCCCAAGGTGACATGGCTCGTCCCCCAAAGGCAGACACCTCTCGAATCGAATTTGGGACGAAACGAGGAAGTCGGAAGCGTGAAGTGCCGGAACATCTGAACCGAAGCGGTGGAGATGCATCGAAAGGATCGAAAGGATCGAAAGGATCGAAAGGATCGAAAGGATCGAAAGGATCGAAAGGATCAAAAGGATCAAAAGGATCAAAAGGATCAAAAGGATCAAGATCAAGATCAGCAGCAGCAGCAGCAGCAGCAGCAGTAGCCGGATCGAAAGCAGTATATAGTGTCTCCAGTCGCCCTCCGGGAGAACTGAAAACCCTTATGACGAGCTTCTTCGGATGCAGAGCCTCAACCAGAACTGAAGTTTGTCTCCAGGAGCCCCCGCTCTGCCCGTTGCTCTGCCTCCTTCGCTTTGTCCTGAGGTCGCCGCCGCGATCCGCCCGGAGATCGTGCATTCCGCAGGGTTTGGGCGTAGGATCCGGTGATGAGTGGACACTCCCGAATTGCTGGAACCAATATATAGAGGTATCCAACAAGCCAGGACACCAAAGCATCCAACAAGTTGCCCGGTCCTTTTCAGGACTCCAGAACTACCATGGGTCTGAACTCTTCGCTCCACTGAGCTCCAGGCTGCCAGGGACTTGCGAGCTTTGCTCTCCACCTCATCGCATGCCACACACGTGCGCTCCGTGCACTCTTGGCACTCTTCGCATGACTTCGAGCGATGGTTTTGCCAACGCAACAAAGAAAGAAACGTGCGCAAGCAAGAAATTGGAGACCAAGTCTTTGCAGTTTCTTGCTCACAGTTGTTCGACATTGTCAGTCAGTGATCTTGCAGTTGAGCATCAGAGTTGCCCAAGTCCACAATATCCTGCAGAGCCTTCTTTGCAGACTCTGCAGCACCTGCAAGCGCAGCAATTTTCTATCTTTCAGTGTCCCTCTCGCGCGGAATTGTTGCCTGAGCACACAACAGTATGCAGTAAACGATTTAAACTTTCATACTTCAAGTGGAGGACAAACCCTCTACACGTGATCAAATGATGTTTGAACCTGCAGCCCACACATTACTTGAAAATCATCACAGGCTTTCAAAATTCATTCTGGCACAAACCAATGTGTATACCTAGCAGAATGCTAAGTCTTCACAGGAAAAGGATATGAAAGAGCTGTGGATGCTTCGTGCTGGAAGGTGGTACTTCACCAGACCCCAGTATCGTCCCATCCACAACCAAGGCACCTTGGTACGTCTTTTCCCGCATTTCTGAACTGGGCCTCATCGAACGTGCCCGTTCATGTGTCTTTCTTCAGCAGCAGCAGCAGCAGCAGCAGGGGTGTATCTCGAATTGAGGCCCCAGTCTCTTCATCCTACTAGTTACTAGCAGTCGGACTGAGGGCATCTCCCTTTTTTGAGACATGACCAACTGGGCCGTTGGTGGGTGACAAGGAGAACCTGATCTTAAATCCAGGTGACCTCCATGGTTTCTCTGGATTGTTAGTACCCCCTATAGATGTGGTCACTTCAGCTTCCCATGTGCATCCCCAATCAACCGCAGAGCCCACAAGCCACTGGCCTAGTTGATCTAGTTGTATACATCGGAATCTTGTTGCGGAAACCATTCGGACGTGTTGTACTGCAGTCAAATCGCAAAAATAACGTTCCCACGAAGCCAACTTGATGTCTCAAAAGACTGACGTGCGTATTGTATCCTATTGTATCCAATTGTTGAAAAAGAACCATGCCATACCCCTGACTGAAGTCGTTTGATGCAAAGGATTTATCTGGCTCTTGAAGCACATGGGGCAGTTGGTAGCGTGGATGAGCGACACAAAAACCAGCTCACAGCTCACTGGTGACTGGTGTGGTCTTCCATCTTGCTTCCAACTGTAGCACTTGGACCCATTCCAATAGACTCTGATAGCCAGGAGATGTTAAGAACAGGCCTCAACTCAACGACCTTCATTCATGGAAGTTCCACTGTTGGACAGGTGCGTCTTTCATGTCACCCCAAGGCCCGGTCCAAGGCCCCCACGTGGTTTCCACACCGGCACTGGCGACGAAGGTCACCAGGCCAACCAAAAGAAGATCACGCAAAGCAGCCATGGCGATGAAGACGAACCGAACCTCTGTGATGGAAGGCGAACCTCTGTGATGGAATAGCTGGGTATTCATGACTTTCCCCTATCATTGGCCTATCAAATTTCCGCCTGGGAGCCAAAGACATGCGGGAAAGACCAGGACATGCGAATCAGAATGCGGGAAGACGAGGTCGCCGACAGGCCAAAAAACATTTAAAAGGCCCAGTTGATCCACTCGCAGCTCAAAATGTGCCAACACCTCTCCAGTGGCATCATGCTTATGTGAGGTCATCCTCAGGATCTGATGCCTTAAGCCTCTTGGTCATGTGTGCTTTGACCTTTGCTCATGTCCACCTTTTGATTTGCATGTGGATTCTTCAGGCCGTGGCTCAAGCCAGGGATGTATCAAACAAACCATCCTAGATCTGTGAGACATAATCGGAATCGCATCCCATATACTCGGCTTGCGACACATTCCTCAGAATGCAGCTTCCTTCATGCTTCGTGGAAGAAGCGAGTGGAAGAAGCGACACGGAAAGCACTCAGGTACCAATAAGTCTCGCAGCCTTCTCTGCTATCATCACTGTAGGCACATGCGTATTCCCGGAAGTGATTGTTGGCATGATGGAGCAGTCAACAATGCGTAGACCCTCCAAACCATGCACTCTCAGCTCATTATCCACCACGGCTTCTTCATCACTGCTTGGACCCATTTTGCACGTCCCAGCTGGATGATAGATGGTCTCCGCCACCCTCCGGGCGTGGTCCAGATTGGTCTCCGCCGGTGGATCCACCTCCTCCGCGCCGATCTCACGCAGCAGTGGGTGCTGTGCCACCTCGCGCGCCAGCTCCAGGCTGCGCAGCGCCAAGCGCTGGTCGTGGTCCGTGGACAGATAGTGGGGGGAGATGCACAGCGATCCATCCCGGCGCAGCGCCACCCGTCCTCGGCTCTCGGGCCGCAAGATGCACACCGAGGCGGTGAAGGCATCGAAGTCATCCAAGTGCACTGCTGCCGTGCCCTCCAAAGCTCGAGTGCTCAAGGGTTGGAAGTGGAACTGCAAATCCGGCGGCTTGGACCGTGTTGTGGCCGTGACGTCGCAGATCCGGCTGGGCACGAAGGCGCAGACCTGCGAAGCGGCCATGGACACTGGACCGGAACGATTCCAGAGGAACTCCCAGCCGCATCGCCACGCCGTGGGGCTGGACATGGCTTTTAGCCACCCCAGGTAGCCGCCCTGGACAGCATACTTCACCAAAGCTCCCACCTCTGAGTTCAGGGTGGGAGTGCCTCGCACGCGGAACTTGGGCCTCAACTGCAAATGATCTTGCAGATTTTCACCAACCCCAGGCAAATCATGGACACACTTCACACCAGCTTCCTCTAGCTTGGCAGGTGAACCGATGCCGTTTTGCAGCAAGAGATGTGGAGAGCCCAGGGCGCCTGCGCTGAGAACCACTTCTCCAGCAGATACTTCTTGTCCGTTGACCACCACTCCGGTCACACGCTGTCCGTGAAGGACCAGACGTTCCACCTGAGTCTTGCAGTAAATATGCAGGTTGCTTCGTTGGTGGCGGACTTCGTGCAATGGCAAGGCACTGGAACAGCGGAAGCCACCCGGCGTTTTGAAGTTGGAGAAATATGCCACTCCAGCACCTCCCTGTTGGTCTCCCGCCACGTCACTCATGTCGCGCACACGAGGAACCTGGCAGACCTCAGCACAGGCCTGCGACCAGCGTTCCGACAGCTCGGTGCGGTAGCTGTTCCCCGTCACAGACATGGGGCCGCCTGAGCCGCGGAACGTGGGGGTGTCGGGGGCCGCCTCGCCGAGGTCCGAGAGCTCAGGCGGCGCGTCTTCGGAGGATTGGAAGTGGGGGAGCAGCTCCTCGTAACTCCATCCAGGATTCTGCACGGCCCAGGCGTCATAGTCCGATTGCAGGCCTCGCACGTAGAGCAAGCCATTCAAGGACGACGAACCACCCAAGACCTTGCCACGAGGCCAGGCTAAACTGCGTCCACCTAGGCCCGTCGTAGGCCCATCGGTCTTCCACATCCAATCGAAATCAGGAGTCCCAATGGCCTTGAAATAGAAGACGGGCACGTGAACCCAAAGCGCATTATCTTGTCTGCCCGCCTCGATCAGCAGCACCCGGCAGCTGGGATTCGTGGACAAGCGATATGCCAAGTGAGCACCCGCACTGCCAGCACCGACCACCACCACATCGTAGTGTGAGGACTGGCCGGCGCGAGGCTGAGAGATGGGCCAGAAGGCACGAAGGGTCGAGCCCAAGCGCAAGGCGCGCGTAGAGCTGCCCATGACGACGAAAGCAAAGCAAAGCTTCAGTTGGGATCTGTTGTATCCTTTTTTCCCGCTGGCCGCATGCTTTAGCTTGACACTCAAGGTATTTGGGTCCTGAAATCCCCCATAGTACACCTGCATCCAGGGTGAAGGATAATTGGTAGAGGTCAAGGTTGCTTTGCATGCGCTACTAGCTCTATGGTTGGAATCCGCTTGTTTTTTGATACAGGGATACATGGTATGGTAGTTGCTGCCTTCTCCAGCTCTGGCTGTGCTTGTGTAGTTCGCTGATTCTTGCTGTGTGCAGTGGTTGTTAGGTCACAATAAGCTTTCTTGATCCTGGTATTGTTTCATCTGACTGTGCTGGGAAATAGTGACAGATTCCTTCACTGTAAATTCAATTCATGTCATTGAGTTCCTTCCTGGCACAAGGAAAACTGCAAGATCTGCAAGCTTGGTAACAGCCAGCAAAAACGGCAATCCAGTTCATAGTTGACGCGGGGTTCATCTTCAGCCCACTTCCGCTGGGGCATCCTTCTGTTTTCAGTTCCTTCCTACTTTCATCCCCAGGAACAGGAGGAAAATATAGTGGACTTACCTGCTCGTCAATCACGCCAAACACGATCTTGCAACTCTGATCGACTCTGATCTTTGGACTGCTTAAGCTCTCGAAAACACACCTGTTTGTAAGCGTCTCAGAAGGACATGCTAAAAAGGAGACAATGCCACACAAGACCAGACTGGACAAAGACAGCTACCACTTCCAAGCTGTCGGCAAGGTCTATGGGGAGGAAATCTCTCCCACGTCTACCCCTTTCCGCTTGTGTTCGTTGTGGAAGAAGCGACTTGACGCCCGTTCCCGGCGGGTGGAATGTTGCCCAAGGAGGAAAAGAAATACACGCTCCCATCAAATCATCATGGTGGAAGTGGAGAGAGCGCATGGCCCCGAGTTCGCATGACCATGAAATCTGTTCATACCACACAGGCGGTGTTCACTCCGCTTCCATGATTCTTTCAGCAATTATTGATCATAGGGATTCACAGGGAACATTCAGAACTGACGGTCCTTGAGGGAGTCGCAGCATGATGTCAAGTGCTGCCCCTCGTCGGTCCCACGAGTGCGAGTGGGGCACCTTTTGGTCTCAACAAGTGCGACACCGGTGTTTAGAGCAACTGGTGCCTTTCCACTCCAAATCGACAATCACCGGATAATGGTCCGAAGGGTTCAGCAAACATGGCTGTACATCCTCTAAAGCATCCTTGCTGGATTTGAAGCGTTTGGGCTCAAAGGCATGCGACCGGAACTCAAAGAATCCCGGGTTGTAGAAGATGTGGTCAATCAAATAGTATGCATGAGCACCTATCTTCTTCGCCTGTGCCGACAAGGGCCCCCGAACCTTGTTGGAGGTCACGGGAGGATCCAGCTCCGGCCGCTCCGCCGGCACCACGGCCCCTTGGGGGTCAAAGAAGGCGTCCCAAACGGAAGCACCCAGCGCCTGCCGCAAGACCTGGGGAAGCGGAACCGCTCCGGGGAATGGAGGCCTGTGGGGGTGGGTGGCCCCAAACCACCTGGCAGAACCGGGAAAACACCCGCGTGCTGCACCGTCGTTGTACCGTCGTGGCACCATGCTGCTTTTGGGGCGGAGACGAGCGAGAAAACGACCGATCAGACGTATTTCAGGTCGACACCCCACCCCGAGCGCGGGACGGTCTGTGTTGAAGCGCTGCTCCACTCCAGAAGTTTGAATAGTTCTCTATTTTTGTCGAATGTCCAGGCCCCCAGCACAGAGTGCGTATGTGCGTGGAGCCTTTCTTTCTCGGGAGAGTAAGGCCTGGTTTTGAGGTACGTGTCACATCCCAAAGGGCGATGCAATATATGATATATGGCTCTTCCAACCCAAATGGAAAGATCAATACTGGCAACACCGAGGACCGTCTTCGAGTTGGATGCTACCAAACCTAGCACACCATGCCGCAGCATCGCATCGCCGCCCCTGGCCTTCCATGAGCTTTCGCCCCCCGCACGGATGGCTGGATGCGAATTCGCATCCAAGCCTGGGCTCCACGACATGGCCCCACGACTCACTGAGAGTGAACTACTCATCAATCCCATCCCATCCCCACTACTCATCGATCCTCACTGAGAGTGAAAGAGGAAGGACGCAAACCATCACAAACCCACTCTACTTGGAAATTCTTGATCAGTTCCGACCATTCGACCCCTCGTCCCAACCCAAAAACAGAACGAGAGGCAAAGAATCACCGCGTCGCCCAGGTCCTGTGCCCTCTGGAGCGCATGCACCAAGCCTCCTGGGATGCGCCGCGGGGCCGGAGGACCGACCGGTCCGGGTGGCTGGCGGAGTCACTGACATCACGTCCATGGAAGTCACGGACTCATCGAAAGCATCTGATTGAAATCAAAACACTCCGGAGCTGAAGAATGCTGAAGTGTCTCAAAACATCAAGAACGCAAAAAGCACAAACAAGCTTTAGCCTTAGAGAAGTCTATGAGTCTGTGAGTCGGAACAAATACATAGTCGATAGAAGTGAAACTGTTTCATGATTCAACACCAAAGTCGAGGCAGCTATAGATTGCTAGATAGGCGCAAGAGTCGCAAGAGCTATGTACGCATTTTCATGGTGCTGCTGGTGCCCCGCAACAGGTTCTTTGGTACAAACGGTACAAACATGTATAAGCAAGCATGCAACTTGAGGCAAAGCCGCATCACAATCTCCTAGCTGTTTGGTACGGTAGTCACGCCTTCGCAGTTCACTTCACGCTTCAACCTCTCATCCTGGCAGCACACATTTGCTCGACAACACACATCTCAAAGTTCCAAAAATTATACATTTCCCCTTCCCCTCGGTTTGCCAAAATCAAACAACCACTTCATAAAATGCTGGTCATGCTAAATGCCCAAGAAAACAAGCTTATGAATTGATCATCTCAGCTGCCAGTCGTGGTTCCCAATCTGTCTCAACTGCTTCCGACTGGGCTTGCACGATCCGCACCTCGTCCTGCAGAGTGTCCCCAGAACTCAGGTGCGTACCCATGACCACAAAGGCTGCAGTCTCCTGCTTGTCCTCACAGGTGGCTGGAAGAAAGGATGCTCTCAAGGCCCGGAAGAACCCTCAAGTGGAACATGAACGCAAACAATCGGCAACAAGCTGGCCTGCGGACTTGGCACTCTGCACCCATTCCCAACATTGGGTAGATTCGGGTTCATGAGTCGCCTCCATCTGCAGCCCAAAACCTAACAAGCAATGGAGGCCCACCAGATCCGTCGGGACCCGATCGGGACACCCTGCCAGAAGGGACGCTGCTCCGGCTCCACGCCAGATCCGTCGTCCGGAATCCGTCGGAATCCGTCCGGAATCCGTCGGTCCTGCAACTTCACCTGGACGATGCCCTTGCCTCCTCCTCCGCCGCGTGGAGCGGGCGATGCACGCGAGGGATCGCACCGAGCGCTGTTCCGAGAAGGCCACACGAACGAAGGGAGCGGACCTGCTGGAGGTGCAGTGGAACCACACGGGTCCCGTTGCAACCAGACACCGTTCAGCATGAAGAGTTGTAGAGTTCCAGGACCCAAACCGTTCGACCTTGGACTAGCAGGGCTCATGGGCCCTGTATTTCCTGTCGACCAACATCAAGGCTTTGTCGTTTCCGCTGCCTTTTTTCCCCCTTTAGCCCCTAGAACTTCGGCCAGCGAATTTGGTTAATTATGCCAGCAAAGACCTCAAACAGTTTCAGCACGAGTTTTTGCATCAATTCCTGAAATTCCAATGTTGGTGGAAACATCTGAAATCACTGCTTTTTTCGCCTCCAGCTGTTTGGGAAACAGTGTGTCCACCTAGACCAAAAGCGACTTTGGGGGAACAGGATGATGACAACTGACAACTGCATCACTGCTGCATGACTTTCGGACTTCCGGCCACAAGAAAGCAAGCCCAGGACAAGGCGGTGGAGATCGGGAAAACGGCGTGGCCCTTTTTAAGGGACCAACCCACTGGACAAGGCGGAGAAGAAGCATCCACGCCTGGATACGGCTGCAGGGTGAGCTCGAGGGCTTCCAAGCGCGAAGCCTTCCAGAAGATGGCCACTCCCATGTCGTCCAAGCTTCTAGGATCCTGGGCAGCGTGCGACCGAAAAAAAGGGGCACGGGGCACGTTCAGGGGGGGTTGAGGTTTCTCACATTGCATGAGGTTCGGTGTCTTCTTGTGAGGTGTGAATGTGAGAGCTTGTCTCGATCGATAGATTGAAGCCGGAACTCAATCAGTGCAGCTAGGACAAATTGCCGGGGAAGAGATGAAGCAAGCAGCCAAAATAAAACACATGTTGAAAAAGAAGACCCAAGAAAAATGTGTCATTCGGTTTGGATGTGATCTTCACTTGGTTTGTGATCCTTCTTCCCTCTTCCCGCATCTCATCTCATCTCATCTCGATCCTCCAATCCAGCACTCTCAAGCAGCTGCTGCGCTTTGCCAGGCGGTAGCACCTGAGACCAATTGCCTGAGCTTCGCGCCGATCAGAGCGAATGCCACAAATGAATAAATGATAACTTGCTTCAACCCTAGGGCTTTGGGGCTCCATCAACAGCATGTCACCATGTCTCTACGGACCCCTACAGGACTGAAGAAACGACTCATATCTGGAGGGACAAGCGCATGGGACGTGCCAGCCAAGAACTTTGCCGGTTCTTTTCTTGCCTCGTGAACTCTGCCGCCCAAGACACGTTGGAGACCGCCCTTCTTTGGATCCGTCAAGCGTTCTTTCCACTCAGGACCAGCGGCCTGAGGGCCATCGACGAGAAACTCACGACGTGCCAACCACAACGAACGGCCATGCCCATGTCTCGAACGGCCGGTGGAGTCACCGATGGCAGAGCCACCTTTGGCAAAGCATGTCTCTCCATGGAGTCTCCATGTCTCCTCTTTATTTGGGGCCCCAATCGAAGTGCTTGCTCCAAGCAAACAGCCGAACCTAAACACACGAGCGAAACCACCTCCTTTGGGCGCCCAGTCCACACTCCTTTTTGCGCCTCCAAGATCTTCATGCCCAGCCCACGCTGCATGAAGGTGTGAAGGGAGATCGAGCCCAGGTGAGGCAAAAACGCATAGCCTTGCTCTGGCTCGGCCCAGAGCAGCCGGTGCAGTGGTCACTTGGGGAGGTGCCCAGTGATACGAACATCGCCGTTGGAAGGTTGTATTAGATATATATATGTAAATAAGATAGAGAGAGAGAGAGAAGGATCGATATATAGGTAGATGGATCAAAATGTCACAGACCAAAAGACATGGCTGGTGCCTATTGTTGGGATTCTCCCACATTCAATCCACTGTACTGGTTCAAATGAGAATCGCCTTAAAGGTTTAGAAGACATGAAGGACTGTAAAAAGTTAGTTATTCCTCTAAAGCACATTGTTCCATGCGTCTTTCATTGGGTGATGTGCGTCTCACATCTTGTCTTGCCTCACTCAGTAAACATCATCCCAACTATCGTCCATGTTAAGTCACACCATGTGCAAAGGTCCAGCCGGTGTCTTTTCCCTTTCCAGGGTAGTTCCAAGTCGGGTGACAGTGTGAAACCCCAAAAAACCGCCAATCGGCTCCAGTGGTGCCAGTTGCGGTTGGTGCTCTGGTCACTCCATCATCATTACCGAATATGCAGAAGGACAAGGCCCTCTTCAAAAGAAGTGTGGACCAAAAGGATACCCATACCTTGGTCTTTGCTTCAGATCTACTAATCTTGGGCAGAAATGCTCACCACACTGGCCTCGAGCAGCCCAGGCTTCTGCAAAGCTTTTGCTGCTGGCAGGCTCTTTGTCGCTGAAGCTGTCGAGCAAGGCAGGACGGTACTGAGGATAGTCCTGCATCGTGTTGCACAAAGAAAATCGTACCCAATCAAAAGTGCGTCGTGCTTCAAGTAGATCAGTAGCTGTGTCACCTACAGTGGCTTCGGCCATGTTTGCCGGTATATATATATATACATATATACCTTGATCAAGTTGCCTTCTGGCTCTTCTAAACACGCAGCGTGTCCTTCTTGCACTTCTCCAGTTGTGACTCGTAGCCCAGACTCCGCAGCAGACCCAAGAACTGGTCATAGTGATCCAACTCGGCTAGGACCACAACGTCTGGGTCGAAGTTCTCAATGAGACACATCATCTGCAGCTTTCGAGCCTCCCAATCAATCACGGCACGGGTGTTTTCAGCCGAAGCGCTGCAGGTATACTTCCTTTGACACTCCTCCAGCAAGCTGGGTTTTCCTTTCGCTTCCATCATCTCTGCCAACAACGCCGTGAAGTCCACTTGCCCGCCCTCAGCCGTGGGCACCGCCCTCTCGGGCACCGGCCAATCTGCCAGCACGGGCCGCACCAAGAAGCCGTCGTCGGACATGGCATCGGCCAAGACGTTGTACTGCATCACTCGCAAGGTGGACGTCGCCCTTGGAGGAGAAGCCTTCCACATTGAAGCTTCCACATGTCGTTCGGCCACCTGTTGCTCTTTTTTGAAAAAAAAAAAAGGAGAGAGTGCTTTTGTGATGACTACTCTTCCAAAATTCAGCAGGACAGGAAGAGCAAAGCAACCTGTAGAGGGAAAAAATGTGTCCAGTACACCATGCTTGTACTTTCCTCCCACACAAAGGACGCAAGGAGTGGTTGTCCCCTGCAGCTCCATGGAAAAACCCACGCGAACTGTGGCCACCAACGCAAATCGTGGCCACCAACGCAAACCGTGGCCACCAACGCGACGCGAAGACCGAAGACCGAAGACGACCTGCAGCTCCTTCAATCGTGCACATCGCAAAGCTTGACACGCCATGGTTTGGGCAAGTGAAGGATTGCGTGTTCAATGCCACCTAAAAGAAATGTTCAGCTAAAACCACATTCTCGGTCACCATGGAAAGACTGCGTTCCATGAAGTTGGACTACAGGTTGAGAAGCACAGGGTCTTCCAAACAGACCAATTCTTTCAGCGATTGCAAGCAGGTGCTCAGCAATCTATTACACAAGAGCTTGATCTCCAAGGCTGAAGCAAAGCAGCTGATTCCATCAACTGAAACGAGCAGTGGTGGTTTTCATTGCGACAAGAGCTGCATGACTCGCTCTTTTCGGTCGTTTTACATCACATGGTCAGTCGTCGGATCCGCATCTTTCCACCACTTGGCCTACAGACTTGAGCACGAATGAGAAGGCATGAAGCAGCCACCTTCTATTATCTTCTATACCTCCCAAACAGGGAAGTCTTGGAAGAAGACTTTTTGCAGAAGACACACAGAAGGGGGATTTAAATTAAGGGTTTGCAAAAAATCCATACAACCCTCCCGCTCAACCTCGAAGATCTCGCTGGACCTCAGGCGGCTGGGAGCGCCACTGCCACTGCGAGCAGTGGTCAGTCGTCAAAGGAACAGGTTTTCACCCAAGGTCGGTCGGTCCCTGATTTCATGCTACAGGAGCTATATCATCATCTAAGTGGTGTTTGCAAGGAAAACAAGTATCACCCAAAAGCTTGCGAAGTGTTGAAAATCTGCATGCAGAACTCGTTCGGTGAACGGATCTTTCTTCCCATGGCCGCCTTCTTGTCGAGCAAAGCTCGCTCTCCCCCTTGCGCTCTCCCCGGAGCTGGACGGAGCTCTCAGCTCCCAGGAGCGCGCCACGTGGCGAGCCAACTGCAAGTGCTGCCAGGGGTGAGACACCAGGGAGCTCCTTAAGCAGAGCCAAAGCCAGCAGGAAGGCCCATGGCTCTTAGCATTTTCATCTCTTCGTCTTCTTCGTCATCTCCATCTCCATCTTCACAATCCTTCTTTTCTTCATCCTCTTTCTCATCCTCCTTGTCATCGTCCAGGCCGGCAGCAGCTCGCTTTCTCTTCTTTTTCTCCTTCTTTCTCTTCTTCTTCTCCTCCTCTTGTTCCTCCAGGGCTTGGATTTTGGCAGCAACATCCTCCACCTCCGCTTGCTCTGTCTCCTGCTTCAAGGACTTTAACTTGTCCTTGATTCGATCTACGCCGATTTTTTCAACCTTCATGTTCATCCCCAGATTTCGGTTGTGTCTGCGGCCATTCACATGCTCCAAATAGGAGGCGGAATCCTTGATCAAGCATTCACACACAGAGCACCAGTAGCCACCCTGCAAGGGCTTGATCGTATGAGCCGTGACGACCTTCATTTGGCCCAAGTTCTTGTCGAGCTCTAATTCCGCCGTTCTGCGCTTCAGGAATGTACGCTGAGAGGAGGGAAGTGGAATCACGGGGTCCTTTCTTCGTCCAATGCGCTCTGGACCAAACATGATATTCTGCTTGGCTTTTTCCAAATAAGCATCTTTGTCCCAAATCTTTCGGCCCATTGCGTCGGTCGCAGCCTCTTCATCTTTCTCTTCTGCTTCGGAGGCCATGTTTCCGCCCCCAAAACAACGCTCGACCTAATTACTGGGCAAAAGAGGGGGCGAGCTAAGAATCACTCAAGCCAAGCTCTGGCAGACCACACAAATCCTCTGTCCTCTTTGATACGAACCCACTAGCACAAGATAATTCCACTGAAAGAGAAATAGGCTGGCGGCAAAAAACATATCTATATAATCATATCTAATTCAATCTTTTCAACTGTGACGCACTCAAAGCTGAGCCGAGCGCGAGATGACCGTGAACTGGGTGTCCACCTTGACTCGGTCGCTCGGTGACTACCCTTTGGTCACGTCACAAGACTGGAGGCCGGAGAGAGAAATATCCCCAAAAATCGCGTTGCAAGACCTTGTACCCCAGAAAGCTGTAGAGCTCCCTAAGAGGGCTCCCATTTGGGGCTCGTCGCCTCACATCGAGGCGGTCGCATCCGGCGCCGTGGGCGTCGCGGCTCGGCCGAAGGGAGCGCGTTCTAAGGCCTCGGAGCGTCGCATCGGGCTCACCACAGGTGGGCAATAGACTCCATAGACAAGCCCATCTCACCTCTATGCTATATGTTTTTCATTCTAAATGAATCAAGAAACATCTAAATATAGACTATACAGAGGACACAGAGTGTGTGCGGAGTTACTTCATGGGCTTCCATTGCAGAAGGAAACCAATTCCTGAAACCTGTGTGAACAGCTTGGCGCCAGCTCGGTTCCCAGCTGTTCGGAACACTCTTCTGGCATATCATCGGCACATAGCTCTGGCATAACCTCAGTGAGTGCAATTTGAGTAACCTCACAAGGGCATGGCCTTGGACCCGTTGAGAGCGAACCGCTGAGATCCAAATGAGCGGCGTTTAGCACTTGGGGGCGTCCCCACTGGGCCCCACCTGTCGATGGGGTGTGTACTTGAGGAGGATGACAGCCCAGTTTTGGTGTGGAACACCAAAACTGGCCCAGCATCCATTGTTTGGGGAGTCTTCGAATCCACGTGCCCATGTCTCTTCTCTTTGCTTTTGTTTTCAAGGCGCCCACTTTCCGACTAAAGACCCTTTCTAACGGCCTGAGATCCGAAAGTCCTCTCGTTCGACCTGGGCGGCCCTGCTGCTGTATGGCATGGTTGATATTTCACCTCTGCCAAAAGTGCCGCTAAGAGCTCCAACTGGAACCTCCGAGCTGCGGCCAGGGAAGGGCTCCAGGCCAGAGCCCGAAACCGTCCCCAAATGATCTGGATGAAAGAAAGTTGATGCACGCGTTCGTTTGGGGCCCCAAACTCTCTGTCACAGTCGCTGATCAAACCCGAAACCCTTGGCGTGCCTGTCAATCATCACGCACAGGCTGATGTCCTGAGCAGGCGAAACAGTGGTGAACAAGACACCAAGGCGTGACACCAAGGGATGCAAAGGTCACGACACTTTCGTCCACACCAAAAGGATTGCAAATCTCTGCGGCCACGTCGTCCTTGTGGAACATCCAGCAAGCGAAGCATGGTAAAAAGTCGTTCCGCATGGCAAACTCTGAAAACCAAACAAGAAAAGAACCAACTTGGAGCTTGCTGTCCAGCTTGTAGACAACGTAGCCAATCGATCCACCTGATAAGTCCGATTTCTCTTTCGAAAGCTGACATCGACATCGACATCGGCGAAAGTGCGTCGGCGATGTGTGTCACTGCGCACCCAGCAATGGTGTTGCAAAATGGAGCGTGGGCACCTCAGCACTTGGACGAGTTTAGCTGGTGCAGGAGAATACACCAGCAAAGTGCTGTGCCTCTCATAGGCAAACTACCTGGAACCTTTTCCTGACCACCATTTTGCACTACCAAGCCTCTAGTCTATGGTCTTTTGGTATCAAAAAGGCGTCCATATCGGCTACTGTATATGTTACATGTGCTCTTCTTTTGGATGAAAACTCAACTTGCACCGAGTGCAACTCACTGCGAAACAGGTGTTTTGGCTAAGAGCCTAAGAGCGGTGCTAAAGCGACGGGCAGAATGCTCAGCCAGAGCTTCATGAGGAGAACATTGTGTTTCCTTGGTGGCACCGACACACCAGAAAGAGAGAGAGAGAGAGAAGAGAAAGAAAAAGGGGGGAGGGAGGGAGATCCGGAGACGGCCCTGATATTTCTCGGGGACACAACGGGGACTAAGAACTCGATCAAAGGATTTATCAGTTTTCAAAAAGAGAGTCCACTCCGACTCACAGCGCGCTCTCGATGCGCATGCGGTGTGGACCATCCCATCCCAACTGAGTGGCTGGTAGCTCCACGGCTCTGGCGTACTGCGGATGCATTCAATGCCTACGACACGAAGCAAAGGAGCGGCTGGGCATCGTTGTGCCATTGGAGGAGTGAGGTTCGATCAAGGGACGCACCATTGGGTGCTTTGTTGGTCACGTCTATCATGCACCATCTAAGTTGGACGCAAGGGAAAACCACTGGACATGGTTTCATATGGCCTGTATGCCCTTTTTGTATTTAGCAAGGATGAGAGCATCATTGGAGTTGGTACGGGCGACTTGCAAACACCTCGTTCATGTGCTGTCCATGAAAACCAATGCTTGTCATGTTCAAAAAGGAACGTCGGTAAATGACCAAGCGAAGGAAACACGAAAAGGCCTTCGATGGTTTGGACCAAGTTATTGATCTGGTTCTGCATCGCAACAACCTCATCGGCGAGGCCAGCCCCGGCAGGCAGAAGAACAAACTAGAACTGTCCCACTTTTGCAAGTGGTCTTGTGGTATGCAGGCCTCTTGGCACGCCGCTCCGGGATAGGATGATTTGTACTACGCATCACGGGTCCAAAAGGGGTCCCAAGTGGGCCGCCCCTTTTGCACCGGATCCGGCTTCCCCTCCGCACCCACCGGCCGACCATTTCCGGTCGGGTTTTTGATTTCTCTCGAAAACCGTTTCCGATATAATATACACATATATATATATATATATGAACCCATTCAACTTGCTGCCAGCGAAACTTCGGCCATTTTCAACTGGTGGTGCAAGCGCCCCATTTGGGGCCAATCCATGATCAACGTCAACTGCA